GGGGGGGGGGGGGGGGGGGGGGGGGGGGGGGGGGGGGGGGGGCTGCGCCCCCTCCAACCCCCTTTTATTTTAAGCCTTGCAAGCTTCCTTCGAAAGCATTTTTTCAAACCCACCATGCGAGACCCGAGAACCCCTAAACCCTAAAGACCCCTAAACCCAAAACACCACAAACACCTAAACCATAAACCCTAAAAAACCCTAAACCCTAAACCCTAAACCCTAAAAAAACCCAAACCCTAAACCCGAAAAGCCCCGAGACCCTAAACCGTAAAGGAACCCCAAATCCCAAAAACCCTCCAATCGCTGAAACCCCCTAAACCCTGAACCCTCAGAACCCCGAAGCCTAGCCGTCAACAAACACCAAACCGGAAACCTCAACAAACCCATAAACCTTAATCCCTAAAAAGAAAGTGTCCTAAACCCTAAAACCCCCTCAGCCCTAAAGCGAGAAATCCGTCCACCCGACAACCCCTAAGCTCGAAACCCTGAAAACCCGAAACCCTAAAAACCCGTAAGCCCTAAACCCCAAAAAGCTCCTGAACCCTGAGCCCCAAATACTAAACCCTAAACCTCAGTATCCTCGCCTTTTTCTTCAAGCCGTGCAAGCTTGCTTCAAAAGTACGCATGAGTCTTTGTCGAACACCTCATCCGAGCTTTGTGTTTGCAATGGAGGGAGGACTGCGCCCCCCCCAAGCCCCGCGCCTGTTAAGCCGTGCAGGCTTGCTTCAGGCATTTGTTGTCAAACCCATCATACGAGCATTGTGTTTGGGCTGTCCCCCCCCAACCCCCCCCCCCCCCCCGTTTCTCTTTTTCGAGCGTGTGGGGTTTGCCATTGGGGGGCTGCCCCAACCCCCCCGCTTGTGAAGCCGTGCAAGCTTGCTTCAGGCTTCTTTTTTTCGAACCCGTCATGCGAGCCTTGTGTTTTCAAATGGGGGGGGGGGCTGCGCGCCCAAGGCTGTGAACCCTGCCCAAGCCGCGATAGACCCCGGTCCGATGCTCTCGGGCTGCCCCCCCTCCCCCGCCCCCACCCCCCCCCCACCCCCCATGGGTTGGGGGGTTATGGTTTAAGGTTTAAGGTTTAAGGCCTACTCCCGCGCCCCTAGGGTTTAAGGGTTTGGGGTTGAAGGTTTAAGGTTTAAGAGACCGGCCGCCGTGTTACCCCTGCACCCCCCCCCGCCTGTGGTGTGGGTTTGGTTGGGGTACCCTGCCTGTGCTGTGAATGGGCGGTTGGCGTTTGGGGTTGAAGGTTTACGGTTTAGGTTAAGGGTGTGAGGTTTCAGGTTGGTTTAAGTTTTAGGGGAGAGGTTTGATACCATGGTGGGGGGGGGCATACGTATTGGGGGCGGGCGGATACCATGAAGGGCGAGGGGGATACCATGGTGGGGTAGGGCCCGGGAGCCCGAGACCATCCCTGCCAGGTACCCTAAACCCTAAAACCCCCCAAAACCCAAAACCCTAAAAACCCTAAACCCTAAAATGCCCGAAACCCGAAACCCTAACCTAAACCCTAAACCCCAACAACCGCGAAACCCTGAACCCCAAAAAGACCCTAAACCCTAAATCCTAAAACCCCCAAGCCTAACCTAAACCGAAAAAACCTAAAAACCCTAAACTCTAAACCCCAAAAAACCTAAACCCTAAAAACACCTAAACCCTAAAATCCCCCCAACCCTAAGCCCTAAAAAACCCTAATCCACAAACCCTAAAAACCCCTAAGCCCCTCCCCCTAAAAACCCTAAAGTTGCCCTAAACCCTACAAAAACCGCATGGGACAAGAGTACGCTTCGGGTTTTCTGGCAGGGGTTCAGGGTGTTTTCGACTCACGTTTTTGGGGGGTGGGGTCCATCTCTCACGGCACACGCTGCCAGAAAGTGCTGGCGAGTGTAGATTTCGTCTGGAGGTCTTGAGAAATTGGTGAGCGAGGAGGTGAGCAGATTGGGCTCAAACAGTTCAAACTGGGGCTCGAAGGTCGGTGGGTACAGCTTCCCTGCTCTCGTCGCAGGAAGCTGCGGTGCAATGACCGTCCGGGTGGCAATGGTGGCAGCTGCATGAAGCTGAGGTTTGCACAATACTAGTTGAGATGTAGTCGCCGCTCTGGGTGTTGTTCCCCCCAGTATCTTGCCCCTGCCATTGCACGTTGCTGCAATAAAGTGGCGAATCTCCAGATGACATTCATGCATTCATGTATCTCCATGGACATCTGACATCTTCCGGGGCAAGTAATGCTGAGGAGCCCAATTGTCGTTGCAGCCCTGCCAGGTGCCCATGGAGAAACCAAGGAACTCTGCCTGCCACTGGCACAACGAAGGCTTGCTGCCGTTGCTGCCTACACATGCCTACACATGCCTACACATGCCTACACTATTCTCACAGCTGCGAAGACCGCACGCATCAACCCGGATACACGTCAACACATCTCCTATGCAAGTTCCTCGGAAGCAGCCGTTTCTCGTTCAGCTACCCAGGACAAAGTGACTAGCTTCAGGCGGATCACGAACTGGGCGCCGACAACCTTTTAAACTGCAGTATCACAAGTACTCCTGGATATGATGATTTCCGCAATACGATGAGTAGACACCCAGGCTGATACGCCATGCAGCTCAGTCAAGCTAGATCGGTCTTAGATGAAAGCGGAAGCAGGTAAGCAGGCATAAACTTGCCACAACAAGCGCCACCCTGGCCTGCGCTCTCTGCTCCAGAGACAACTCATCCCACGTCAACTGCGCGCAGCAGAACATGAGCAGCTCAAGTACCACCTCGTATCACTACTCGTCTTCTCTGCCTGCATGGTGACGGTGTTCATCATGCCGCCCAACCAGAGGTGCTCGCTGTGGCCAAGAAGTTGCCTGACCACGCCGAGTGCCTACAGTGGGCCTGAAGCCCAATACATCTGCTCAAACATGTCTGCAGCACCAAGCACGCCGCTCGGCAACCTTGGGGGCTGCTCCAAATTCTCTTACACTGTGGGACCTAACCTCAATAAACACATGACTTGGATCTGGAAGTGCCAGCTGCAGTTTGTTGAGTTGTCGTCACATCACTCTGAAAATCTTCTCTGCTTAAACTGAGGCCTATACAGTCAGAGCACTCCATTGGATGTCGCTGTACTTTCTCTTCAAGTAACTCGGCAACAAGCGTCAGCTGCACACGCTCGTCTCAGCTTGCACACGTCTGGCAGCGCGCGGGGCCAAACTCTTGCAACATGCGCTTGTGGAGCTTAGTGCGGTGGCACCTCTTTCAGCGCTTGGTTCCCACACAAGTTCATTCGGGCGGCAGATCACATTCCCGAGGTCACCATTAGACAATGCGTGAAATGTTCAAATATCTTCAATATCTTCGGAAGCCCCTTCCATATTCAGTTTAAGAGTCCGTTGACGCAAGGCTGCAAGCCAATCGTTTAGCAAAAACTTCTTTCTGGCTTGTGAAACCTGTTTGGTATTCCATATAACTTCGATTCTCTAAATTCCGATCTTATTTTTAAATCATTTTCCATACTTTTCCGATTAATATTTGACATAAAATCATCCTGAATACATTTACCCATTGGTGCTACCATCTTTGATGTCAAATATGTGCCCATGATCGGTGCTGTCTTAAGCCCTTGCAGGACCCTCATTGCTATTTTAATGCATCTTTTACAGTTAATGGTTGTATATTTTTGACTTGCCTTACTGATTCTCATATGATAAAACCATTTCTTTATATCACCGCAATTTGCGTATTCGGTTGCCAGGTCCTCTCGCATATGCTATGTAAGTACTAGTGACTTCCTCTTGGCGGCTTTTGGCGATGTCTCGCGGGATGAGTTGTTGATTGACCTCAGAAACAGCAGCATGCCATGAAGCTTTCGGAGATTTCGTTCGCCTCCCGGCCGACGGCCGAGAAGCGCCTGGAACAAGCAGACCAACAACTGGTCTCCTTCACCCCGCCTTTGCCCGGAGCCAATTCCTTGGCACTCCCTGGGGCCCTGGGACTTCTGGGACTTTGCTGGGATGCCCTTGGAACCGCATCGGCCCTGAAATCCTTAAAACAACGCTTGGTCTTACACGGCCTCTCTTTGCTGCCGTCTCAAACCGAGACTCCCGCGAGGTTTCAACCAGTTCGCTTTTGCGCGGCTTCACTGCTTATTTACAACAACATGGATTGACACGCCCGGCATGTCGGAAATCCTCATGGGCTCTCTTTGTCAACATGTAGTTGAGACTCTGTCAATCTCAACGTCTTTCAAGATTTCTGAGGACGCCTTCTCGGCCCGTAGTATATAATAAGCCATTATCGAAGGTCCTGGGGTGCTCTTGGTGGCTTCCGCAGGCCTCGGGGACCCAAACTCTGGCCCCACGCGATCGCCACAAGCCTAGTCTGTAGGTCTGCGCTGAGGTGACACACCATTGCATCAATATCAAACCATCGGATATGTTTGGGTGTTGTAGTCAATAAAGTCTGTGCTGTAATGCATGTCGGGAATTTCTGGATTTCCGAGGTTTCGAGTCCGTGGTCGGAAGCGGCTTGGTCTCGTCGAGGGATCAGGGCTTAGGCGGTTGGAATTTGAGGTTGCGCTAAGGAGTCAGGGCTTCGATCACTTGGGTGAGCAGTGTGAGGTTCATGCGTACAATAGCATCCAACGTATCGTAGGACGCAGGCCTAAAGCGCTCTTCACACTGAGCACCAGGGCATCCATCCTGCAAGCAACCGAACTTGAGGTACTGGCGGCCGCTGCACATCAACTCAGGCGGGGGCCCAAGTGTCCGAAACATATCCTGACTGCACAAGTGCTCTTGCTCTTCGCATGCCTGCACCTTCCAACATATTCCAACCTGCCAGTCTGACGGAAATCGTCTCAGCATCAGTGAGATCCACATAAGCCTGCGCAATAACAACGTCAGGCTTTCAGCAACGCAACGTGTTGGATCTTTGCCAGCCTTCTTCAAGGTGGCTCCATCACCATTTGTCCATCGCTTCTGCAAAAAGCAATGCAATGGAACCGGCAGAAATCAAGGATTGTACAAAAAACACACCCAGCAGATCGGAAACAGAACTTCTGCTGGTGGTGCAAGACTGAAGGGTTCACTGAATCATGCTCTGCAAGTCTTTGTTAGCTCGCCAAAGCAAAACCCGAAAATGTGGGTTTCATCACAGGAGACTCACGGCTGCGTATGCTGCGTCGCTGAAACATGTTTTCGCTGTCCGCTTTTCTTTTGTTGGCGTGTGTGGCATGAGACTGGAAAAGGTGTAGAAGCCGGCGAGTCGTGGCCGCCTCGTTCCCGTAGAGTAAGAGGACACACAGACGCACAATGACACACGTGTGATCATGTGTGCTTTGCAGACGTTGACAACAGCCTGCAACTTGGATCTGTTTTATATGCATGGAACTTGTATGGCAAACGTTACCACAACCATCTTCGCTTCTACATGCACCACCAGACTCGTGGACAAGTCAAGGCATTCGGGGAGGTTGTGTTTCCGTTCATTCGGACTTCTTTGCAGGAAGGCACCACTGACGCTGAAACGGGGAACGCGAAGCTAGTACCTGCTAGTGGCAATGACTGCCCCATCAATCGGCAATGCAACAAGGAGGAGTTGCAAATTGTAAATACACAATTACACACAATATCAAACACAACAAATCAATCAACACAATACCAATCATCACGTTGTTGCCTCTGTCTGTTGCACTGTCGTGTTGCCATGTGCTGCTATGATTTTTGCTGGTGCGCGGGCGGTGGCATGCGGTGGTAGCGCGCAACTCTGTCAGCACTGCCGTGACATTCAGTTTGGAGTTATGCTGCACAATCACTCACTGACACATGACGACCACTCGACACTGAAAAGATGGCTGCAGGGAGTCGCCTCATCGTAACCAAGCTCCATCAGCCTCTCCCAGTTTGCCATCTCTGTCCACTGCTTCACGACGTCAGCAAGATAACAAATCAAAGTGGTGCGACCTGTCTTGAAATGGCTGCTGCATCTCCCGCCAAGCGATGGTGCTCCATTTCGTCTCACACAACAAGCCAGTCAAAACGAATGCTGAAAAGTAGCAGGAAACAAAGCAACCGATCCTCCAGCAGCTCTAGGCGAGTGATGCACGGCCTTACGCATCTCAGAAAGGCCATGCTTCAGGCCATCATCCACACAGCAGATCTGAGTCATCTGAGTGTGCTTCGCTGCCCTTTCGCATCTTTCCCAGACCTGTTGCAGACTGTGGAGAATTAGATGTGGATGATTGGGGGGGGTATCCGAATGTATCAAAATGTATCTGATGCGTTCGGGGCCTCCACATTGTAGCCGAGGAAAGTAGCGGCTTCTTGCTGTCTGGGTAGTAGTTCGCTCCAAAGCCTAGTGTGAGGCGTCTAAGGTCGAGGGTTGGCAGAGTGGCTGGCCATGGCCCAGATGGCCAATTTAACTGAGAATGCCTGTGAGAATGCCGCTCTGAGCTGTCTGAACATGTCTCCGCAAAGTTATCAGATGACACAACTTGTGCATTCCTGGTACATTGCTGCTACATTCCTGGTACATTCCTGGTACATTGCTGGTGCGTTGACGACCTGGGCATCCAAGCTGAGCGTAGGATAGCGGATAGTCCATCTCCACCCAGCGAGAGCTCGCCTGCAAGAAGTTACCGAAAAACCGTGCGACTGTGGGAGAGATGTACAGAAACGTCCTGAGTCAAAGATGTTGCTAGGCCATCGGACCCATCCAAGCAGTTCTAGGGCTTCACGTTTCGACTCCGTCAGGTCAACCCAACTCCGGGAATACAACCTAAGCCGTAGTCAAAAGGAAGGGGATGGACGGGGCATGTGGTGCTGCGAGACAGTACCACACACATACACGTATTCTTGGGGCCAGTCGAGGAATCGAACCACGCAAGAACCTGCGCTGGGAGCAACACAGCAAACACACTTGAAAGTCAATCCTGCCAACTCCAAGAGCTGAGACGAAGAAGGATAGGACAAGTTCAGCCCGGACCTCAAGGCAGGGCGCATTGGGCGCTGGGACACCCTCGGGCCAGGAGCAAGACGGGTTCTTGCACCTGGCACAGATCTGCGCACTGCACAAGTCCGCGGAGATGCATACGCATGCACAATTTCGGCTGCTGCGCAAGTGCCAGGTCGTAATGCTGTACGCCAACGTGCGAACTGCATCCTGCTGTGCCTGTCAGGGCTTGCCATGAGCATACGTCTCGCTCGAGACGTTGAACATTCTGCGTGGCAGCTTTGCACATGCCTCTGTCAGGTCCTGGTAGCAGGACATTTCCGTTGCAGGCCTTGAATAGCAGGCAAGAGCTTCGATCCGACCTCCGTACTCAACATATCCAATAGAATTGCACAACTAAGTTCTTCACACAACTGTTGTAGATGTGGTGGTGGGCATGCTAGGGTTTGTCCTTCCATGAGTCGGCTCTTGTCTGATTCGGCTCATGTCCATCATGGTGCTGCTGTTGGGCAGTCCCTTGTAGCCGTCTTGGCTGTGAGCCTCGCGTTCAGCACACGCTGCACCGCACTGTAAATTGTGCGAGATACCGTGCCTGCATCAGCAAATGCCGATGCATCCAGATCTTCGTACATCCACTCGCCGTCGAGGTTGTGCTCTCCAAGCCTTTCAAAGCATTCAGAAGACACGGCCATAACATCTGGAACTCTACGTAGCCGAGAGCCCAAACCTGCAGGTCGAGGGGGCCTATCTACCATCCCGCTTCCCACATTTCCCACAAGCTTCTACTAGTAACGACAAAAGTGAATTTAAGGCGTGTAGTGTGATCAGACTCTGGCGCCAACTGATACGAATGGAAGCCTGGTTCTTTGGAAACCACGTGTGCGTTCCAAGGAACATGCCTGCAGTTCAAGAAAAACATCGACAGGCTTTCAATTGGCAGCGAATTCAACGCCCACGCCAAAGCTGGATGCTAACGAGCCAAAACATGTCGTTACATTGGAATGGTCTCCTATACGAATGAATTATGAAGTACAATGGCCTGCAGGTGTGGTCAAAGATAATAAACTCGTCAGACATTCAAACTGAATTTTCCCTGGCTGGGCACTGCTGGCCCGGTATGCAATGAAATCACTATGCGCGATGCGCTAGGAGAAAGTCCTTTGCCTTGAGATTAGGGACTTTTGGGTAGCAGGGGTGGTCGTTCTCCCTGTCGTGGGCTGGGCAGGGAATCAAGAAGTGCTGTTTGCAATCTGCCGCACATCATGCACTCTCGGAGGCTGCCGCCCTCTTTCGGACCTGCCCACCCTTTATGCTTGCTTTGTAATGCCTGAAGTATCGGCACATGTGTAGTGGGTGTGTGCGTGTGCAGACATCTCGCTATACTCCTTCTCATGCTCTGCCTCCTCTTCCTCCTCCCCTAGCCCTGACGCACAGCAGCCACGCTTTGTATGGCATCTGTAGCCAAAGCACGATATTGTCACGGAAAAGCATGGAAAAGCCCATGCGAGTTCGGTGGGCTACTGTGTACTCCTTTTTAGGCTCGGGGCTTCAAAGCCAAGACTGCTGGGCTTGGACCTTCGGATAGTGTCTTGTCAGTTGTTGGTCAACTTATACAAGCTCTGTGAATCACATTGCATGTGCCCCAACAGCCAAACAATGCATCTTAATCTCCATGCTCTAAGTCTATGACTGTACGGAGTGGCTTAACCATCAGCCAGCAGCGTCGCACTAGAACCACACTCTACACTCACATGCAGATGCTATGCCTCCTCCCAAAAGTGGTTGTCATAGGCATTGCCTATGAATTGCGGGAAGTGGTCATGCCCCCTTCCCCGACATCAGTGCACGACTTGCTCGATAAGAGACCAGCACTGGACGTCGCAATCGGGTGTGCAGCATCCCACATTTCTCGCCTGAGTGGAAGAAAAGCCAGTGTGTTAGCAAGATTTAGATCAGAAAGCAAGCGTGCAACAACAACAGATAACAACAACCAGCGAAAGCACTTCGAGGGCCCCGTGCGTCCATCCCAAAGTGGACCATGAGGCCCGTTCTTGGAAGCTCAAGTAGTCCTCTCGACTAGGCTACTAGAGCAAACAAGCTGCCTAGGCTACCTACGACAAACGCTGACAATGAGCGGTTCACATGTCTTTGCGGGGATGGATCAACCTGAATCTAAATTCATCCATGCTAAACTGTGAGGCTCTCCCCACACTCACCCACACAATATGCAGTGCCGAACGTCCAACTCACGCTTCACCGCAGGGGAGGAGAAGGGAACGCGTTGTCTGAAAAACCTATATAGCTTGACATCACAGCCCAACGCCAAATACCAGACACACCAGACACGAACGGGAAGAGGGAGAGCGAAGAAACATCGCGTGGTGCACGGAGGGAACGGCAACTAATATGGCAACTAACATGGCAACTAACATGGCAACCCCCTCCGCCCTGACTCACTTCTTCGCTGGGCGCACCCAAGGCATCTGAGACCATCTCGCAGTATCATCGCATGCAGCATCCTGGCTAGACTCGCATCGCATAGAAAGCACGACTTGCGAAGCAGACATGCTGGGCATCCTGAAGCCAGCGTTCCTCTGCTGCGAAAACCTGAAGAACACGCTCAAAGCTATCAATGGAACCCTGCAGTCGACCATGACATGCTGGGAAATGGGCGAAGCTGCAGATGACCAGAATTTGCACTGGGCCTGTGGAATAGGTGATTGTACGTTTCACGGGATTCTGCGCTGCAGCATCACGGAGAAATCAAGAAAAGAAGAGGGAGACTTTGTGCGTGCACCGGTGCAGTTGTATAAGTTCAAGCAGGGCAGCCTCTCAGAAAGGAGGCCATGCAAGACACACGGCGCAAAATGGAACAAGTTTGCGGTCTGCATGTACAAACAACTACACAAACATTCTCGGTCGTACGAAATAGTCGTTGGCTAACCAGCATATTATGATGATTGTCGCTTTCTGTTGAGAAGTAAACGTTGCGTTGGGTTGTGTTTTGTTTGGCCAACAGCTTGAAGTCAAATATGGGCTGCGAAGCCGAACCTTGCGAAGTCTGCAAGGCCGCAACGCACGTCATCATATACAGAAGTGACAACTGCACCCCAACACACGTTTCAAGTTAGATGCGCAGCTCGACTCTGAAGTCAGAGGAACTTGTACCAAATAGTGAAGAAGCAGCAAGACCTCAGGCCAGAAAATGCTTTCGGACATCAAGCAAAGACAAACTCTTTGTGCACTCGGTGACTCAGTGCTCTGCGCTATGGTGAGCGAAAGAACGACGCGCTCCTGTCCAGACTCCACGACCAACTAGCTGCCCAAAGCTTGCAAGTAACCCTTACCAACCTTGTTTTTTCTGTCGGAAATCTTGTCGATGAGGTTGTTGATTCCAGGAAACATGGAACTCAAAGTTCCAACTCTGTCACCAACACTGTTCAGGACCTCAGGGGACGTCTTGTCCGTCAGCAGACACAACATGGATCTCCGAAGGCTCAGGAACCTCCTGACTTAACTTTGGGCCTTGTCAAACGTTGCTCCCCTTCAGGCCTCTGAGGCATAAACGTTCGAAAACTCGACATTTGGAAGATTAGCACATCTTTTCGCGAAAGCTCCAATGGGCTGAAAACTTGCCTGGCACAAATGTTCGAATGTCCGTGAATGTCTGGAGAAACTCCCGAGACTCCCGCGAGAACCCACGAGGTCAGCAAACATACAAAGCGTATTCGGAAAAGACAGTGGCTGAATCTGACAACGCGGGGGCCGAGCCAGAAAAACCAAATACGCAGCACAAAAAACTGTATCGGTCTAAGATTCGTGCTCGAAGCCTCCAATCGGAAAATTGCGAAGGCATCGGCCGGAAAATGTGCAAAAGACAAAAACAAACGGCCCAGTGCGAAAATGCAACAAGCTTCGAAAAGCTTGGTCATTTTGGCTACTTGGTCCCTCTGTCGCGTCCGAAGGCTCAACTGCAACCAGATCAGAAAAACAAACTGGTCCTTTTGGTCATTTTGGTCATTTGGTCATTCGGTCGCACAGGCGGATTTAGAGGACCATGGCTACTGCAACACGTTTCCCCTCTGAGGCTTTCGTTGACTTGGACTGCTGGTTTGCCGATTGGGCTTGTGCAGCGATGTGCAGAGGACTGGGCTCCGTGCGTGTCCTGACTCGGCCTAGTATTTTCCGACTTTTCCGACTCGGCCCCCAGTGTGTTTTCGCAAGTGTTGTTAACTCAGCCCGGCATTTTTTGACTGACTCTGCCCCCTCACCGAATCTCACCGATATCATCGGCTCCTCACTTTCTGAGGCCTCGGCTCTTCGTGATGCGTGCTCACTTATTTGCCGGTGAGGCAAAGATCGCTATGAACATTGTGGCATTCTATTCCATGTCGATTCCGCTGTACAAAGGGATTGCAATGGATTGCGACAACTCTGCGTATATTTGTTTCAGTTGAGGCCTTGGGTCGACCGACGTTGAGATCAAGATCCGATGAATGGCTCATCCCTCACTGACTTAGTAGCCAAAGCCCTACGAACTATGAAAATCTTACATCTTGGAGCCCGGCCTTGCTATCCCCGCGGGCTTTACTTCGACATTTACCCAACTAATCAGAACTGGTTATAATCATGTGAAGTAGGGTATATCTTTCTTGTATCCCCAAAAGGACACCAGGTATATACACTCCCCAATTGTCAAAAGGAACCTTATATACAGTCACCAAAACCAGTAATATAAACCCTGCTTCAATGTACTATAGCTGTCAACATCCATCGTAGTAACGTTACATTGTGTCACAGGGTCCCTTCTCATCAGCAAATTGGTTTGCCGAACGACGCAGAACTTCACGTCTTTGGCATGAACCGCCGTCCATGCACATGCTTCAGAGCCCTGCACATGCTTCAAAACACTGCTGTAAGTTTTTATGAGCCAACCATCTTCGGGCATGCAGCTCTTCTGATCCTAGCTCTGTCGTGCGATAACCATGTGTATTAGGGAAAAAAGCATAAGCAGTGATTTGATCACGGGAGATACAAGACCATGCGTTCTTTACGAGCGACGATGGAAAAAAAGAACAGAATAGTCAAGGGGCACATTATAAGCATGATAGGCTGAGGACTACCGGATACTTCCGGACAATCTCCATCATTTGAAAGGGCGTATCATTATACAAGATAGGTTGTCGAGGGCAATCTGCATTTGGAGTGATGGGAAAAGTGGATAAGATATAGGGGACCAAAATGGCCCAGGCACCACGAACCAAGAATCAGGATGCAAGGAACTCTTGACCGTAGATTCTTGGCTCAGCCCGGTTTTGATTGTGGATTAGAGTTGTTACCTGCCACGTACTTGCCACGAGAAAAGGTTTGAACTCAAGGACCCACTGGACCCACGAACCAAGGCCCCAAGATGCCGGAACTCGTGGTTCTTGATTCCTGGTGCCTAGCGGCCCCTGTTCTTGAGAAACCTCATGGCAAAAAAAGACATGCGCTTGACTATTGTGCTTCTCAACCAACAGATTCCTGAAACTCCAGGATGCGGAGGCCCGGATTCAACAGTCTAAGCATTGTTATTCTGAATAAGAGGCAGCGAGAAATGTCCAGTACTTGTGTAAATAACTGCAGCCCTCCCGATCTTATACTTTCCAGTAAGTTTATTGACTACAAAAGACAAAGTAGCTACGAGTCGCAAAGAACTGCATGACAAAGAACACAAGCTTCTTGTTTTTTCTAGAATATACTAAACCATGGAGTCCATGCATTGAATCCCGAAGAACTCTAGGATCTGCATGCCTGGATGTAATAGTTTAACGATTTCGCTTCTCAGTCAGAACTTAGACAACTAGTTACATCCTGGCCTCCAAATTCCCGAGAAAGTGTTACATGGAGTTGCTCATTCAATTTACGCAAGTATTCACATAAAGCCTGCCAAAACGGTGGTGGACGGCGGGAACCCAAAGGACCAAGGGAACCAGGCCAAGGGACCAGGCCAAGGGGACCAAAAAAAGGACCAGGGAACCGGGGAAGCAGTCTCGCAACAAATGGATTCTCTGCATCCCGAGCTTGCCAAATAAGGCTCTGGGTGCACGGCACTGCGCTGGTTCATCAACATGTCGCGAGTGGCGCTAGCTTGGCCAATGATTTCATCTGCCATGGACAAAGAGGAGCTCAAACCCATTCCTGACAGCTTCGACGTCTTGGACAAATAGACACGCCATGACGACATGGAGAAGAACTATGGCCACAATGTTGATCAACTCCGAGAAAGGCAAGTCACGTTCTCGCATCAATCCATCCTCGGCGTCATCCTTGCATGTGGAGCTGATGCCCTGACACCATCATTAAGATAAGCACGTGCCAGAGCGACACTCGACCTTAGCTGTCAGAGGATCTTCGCAGCTGAGCCGTGGAAATCCGTGAAACCCAATGATCCCTGAGTTGAAAGCCGATTGTTTCTGGCCTGTGGTAGCAGCCTGACATGACGAATAAGATACAGGCAAGACTCTGCGAGACTTACAAAAGTGTGCGGCAAATTGCCTGGCATGCTGATACTGTTGGTCAATGCTTTGGGCCACTCTTTTGAAGTCCCGAAGCATCTCCTGCCATGCGAAGGCCACACACATTGCCATACAGCACGATTTCCGTCTCTTGAGAAGGTCTGACGAGCCGTGCCACACCTGGTGGGTCTCACGGAAGCGCGCGGCTTGGGCCGCCTGGGCGCTCGTCGCAGCCACATTTGCGAGGGACTCGCTCGCGTCCTCTGTGGAACATGTCAAATGTATGCACATGCACCGTGTTTAACTGTCCTCCAGCTGACCCAGACCCTTCTCAACCTGCGTTTGCCAGTTTCTGCACAGACAGACATACACACACAAGCTCCAGAGTTCGTGCAGAGAAGCCTCCTCCCGCAAGCTGACAACCAGCTTAATCTGCCTGACAGGAAGCTCAACCGGGCTTGTGGAGTCACAAGAAAAATCTGAAGCCACCATGTGGAACCCAGAAGCACCAGTCGCGAGCTGTAGCAGTTCTCGACAACTGGGAGTCTTAGTGTCTTAGTGTCATCGGAGTGTTGACGTCATCCCTCTAAGCGGGACGGCCACACCCATCGAGCTCTGCCACACGGTCTGCTGGTGTCGATGCGGTTGCTGTGCTGAGGCGCTTGTTTAAGCGTCCAAGATCCTGACAACGCATCCGTCACCATCTGCCTGAAGTAAAACATCACAAGCGTCCTGCATCTTGGTGTCTAGCTCAGATTTCAGGGCCTGCAAGACACAACGCGTTGCATCTCACCAGCTTCTACCGATTCTACCTGCCTTGGCCCTAGCTTTCAGCGACTCCCAAGATGCCATGGCCGAATGACTGTCCGGTTACGCGCAGAGCTCTTTACATTTTTTAGTTCAGTACAGGGCCCGCATGGTCCACTCTCGAATCCTTTCGGCCTTCTGGTGCCAGTGCAAGCTGGTGCAAGCATCCTCTTTGACTTCAGAAGTACTCAGATTGCTAAGCTTGCGGAGAGCAGCTGACAGAGTCACAACATTTGCGATAGGAATTCATTGTGACTTGGGTCGTAGTCGACCCACTGCAACCCACTGCAATCTTTTGCAGCCCCCTGTGAAAACCTTTGGAGCACCACTTCGCAAAGCCTGCGTGAGCCTAGTGAGTATTCCTTCACTTGAAGACTGACGTAGCCACATCGGAACCTGCGATATCTGGCTGGAGCGATTAGAACAGCAAGGATGCATTTTTGCGGCTGATCCTTGAATATCATGATGCTGCAGACTGGTCTGCCAATCCGGCCGAAGCACAGCCACTTTGAGAAACCATGCCTCCTTGCTTTTAGGCCTCATTCGGTGTGGGTGTGCTTTTTGTGTTCCGGAATCCCTTAACTGACCCCGTGCAGTGTGTCGCCTGTCAAGATCCCCAAAGAAACTGCCGTCGATTTTGTGTGGCACAGGGAGGCCCGCAGAGGCGCACGAGGCGCGCAAGCTAGCAACTACACAGGCATCACATCTCTGAGAGACGAGCACGACGTTACGAGGAGCCTGGGGCTGAAACAAGAGTGCTCCAGCCGGAATCATGACTCCGAGAGCCCTCTGTACATGGTCCGAGTCCGAGCACCATGCCAATCTGTACAGTTCTGACGAGGAAATTACACTTTGGAGCTATCCTCCGAAGCAGGTTCTCAGGAATCGGTGTCATTGTCATTCTCACCATCATTCTCGTAATCATCCTCACAACCTCTGGCCGGGCGCAGATGCTGCAGCCTCGCAGCCTGCACCAGTGATCCCATGAGCCCATTGCTTGCAAAATCTCTTAGTCACACCATGCCCAGCAAATGAGCTGATCGCCAGATGTTCTTGAAACATCGGAGGGATGTCCTGGCAAATTCGGAGCGCGTCGCGTGCATCATTCACGGGTTTGCAATGTGGCAAGATGGCCCCCCTTGCTTCCGGACAAAGGTCGAAGAGTCGTTGAAGTAGCATTCCGCAAGCCACCTGGAGCTCACCACACTGCTGCGACATTTCCCTGCAGACAATGACATGTCCAAATGCTCACGATAAGCTCTGCACGGCCACATTCAGGGACTGCATGAAACCATACATTGGTATAAACACCTTGAGCCACTTGACTTAAGAGACAGCCCACCGCAACGAGCAAACAGACATTTAGTAGCGCACGGCGAGATCTGCACTTCTCAGCATGTCTGCTGAAATCCCATCTCCTTCTGTACCGAGGACCTTAACGGCATGCCAAATAGCAGTGAACAACAGTGAACGCCAGCCGCAATGGGCCACACCAATGCCAGCCGCGGTAGCGGAGACGGCACCGACCTTAAGGGCACCGAGAGCATGACCAGCTGGACGCATAGTGACAGCTCTGTTACAGCTGATGACTGCGGGCTGTGATTGAACACAAAGGCCATCATAGGCCGCGGCCCGCGAACCAAAGGTACTGCCAAGGCAGGAGCAGATGGAGCGCTCACCTTCGTCCTCGCCACAGCTTGCGGCGCAAGTGCACAAAGCGCACAAAGACCACTGCATTGAGACCACTGCATTTTGCTTGAAAAGACGTTCAAAGTCTGCCCTCGCCTGGGGGGGCAGTAGGAAGCCCATAGCTCACGAGCTTCTGCTTTGCAGCATGCAGCCACTTCCTCGCCAGACCAGGTTAAACCATGCTTGACAATTGAAAAACTCCTGCGAGCTTTACAACACAGCCTCCACACTGGCGAATCGCCGCAGCGTCAGAAACCTGCACGTGAGGTAGCTGATTTCGGGCACGCTTGAATGAATCACAGACAACGGCGGGAACGATACTGTCGAAGGGAACAAGCATAATTCGGCCTTTCAGCACCTCTGGAAGCATGACGGGATCGGACCATCGTGGCCCGATACTTGGCACCCGAAGGTGGTGGCACAAGCCATACCTCCTTTCGTGACACTAATGATGACACTGCGTGTGATGCTGCATGACGCTGCCGCTTGAACTACAGCAGCGGATTTCGCATATTTCGCATCTCCTGTCCTGGATGCCAAGAGCTTCACATGTACGCAGGATCATCTGCTGGTTGGCAGAGTTTCGAACTCCCTGGCAGACCACATGAATCTGCAGACCGCGCTGCGAAATCAAGTCAAAAGCTCAAGCAAGAACGCCAATGGCGGCTGCATGCACATTGCTTTTCCAGGGCACTCAAAGCGATCCAACAGCGTAAGGGACATGCGGTTTGCACAACTTGCGTTGACATTCATTGCCGCGCAGCTCGTGTGAGATCTTGTAATGAACTCTAGTCTTCAGCTGGCGCAGATTGGTCGCCAACCGGCGCAGCTGCAATGCGATGTCCACCTGAAAAATTGCCGATGACTGGCCATTTGGTGTCAATTAAATACAATCTAGAAAAATGATGAACATGTGCAGGGTTGCATCATCCAGGCGTCCGGAACAAGCGGACCAGGGGAACCCCTAACCAAGGATGCAACAGCCACTTTTCACGGACGCGGCTGCAGAAACTGCAGCCTGAGCTCCTTCACGACGCCTTCACGACGCCTTTGTCGTTTCAGCGGCGGCTTGGCTGTGTGAGCTTCACGTAGCCTCAGCCTCTGCAGCCTGTGTTCATCACCCTCATCAATGCGCTGGGCCGACCCGACTGCCGAGGAGGTGCGCGAAGCGCTTACAAGGCATGCATGTGTGGAACCCATGCGTCGAATGCGTGGACAGTGGAACCCATGCGTGGAACCCATGCAAACCCATGCCAACCCAAACCCATGCAAGGGTATCGTGTCCAGACGGAGAAGGCGTGACACCACGGGTGCCAGGATGTGCTGGACAGCGTCTGAGCAGGCTTAGCTTTGCAATACGCAATGCGATTTGGTGGAGGTGAGCGAGGGGCAGACCACAGCTTTTCCTGGTGCCAAAGAGTAAGGTAAGGTCAAAGAGCCCCAGTAACCACTTAAAGCAGGGAGGTACCGCACTGAACTCTGTGGCACACCTGCCTGAACAATGACTAGCAGCCTTACATGACCCCAACTGAAGTCACACAAGCTACCCCTGGGTTCCAGGGCAAGTCGGCGTCTACGTCGAGTCGTGCTTCGACAGCTGTCACATGCTGCACAGTAAGCCTTGCCTACCTCGGTGCATGTTATGTCCGTATTCGTCCATGTATGAAAGATTATGAAAGTGAGGGGCATCAGCTGGCTGCTTGTTTGCAGCCTTGACTTGTCCAGAAGTAGTGTAACCAAAAAGCAAAAAACTGCAAACTGCAAGCCATTGAAAACCTCGGCAGGAAAACACGAGCGCACCTTAGAGGTCCAGGAGCATGCGGGCGGGATCCTGCCCAGGGCGGCCGCACGCGCATTTCAGGAACTGGCCCCTTTCAACCCCCGCGCCACAGGCGTCCTGCAGCTTGTCTCGGACGTTGCAGAGGAACGTGACAGCCTCACGGCCATCAACCAGGCGGTGGTCGTAGGTCAAGGAGGTGAACCTGGCACTGGTCAAGACATGTCAAGACTCGCTCTGCACATCGTGGGTCAACATGGTCAACAGCATCTGCCAGGCAGGCATGATGGGTCGAGCTTCAACTTTGCCATCCACCACCGTTACGCGTCCCTTGACCGCATTGGTTCCTGACACGATGATGGACGTCTGTTTCTGTGCTGGGGAAGTCCTCAGCGTCGGCTTGCTCCAAGCTCCCCGCCCATGGACGCGCTCTGCGGGTAGTTTCTGCAGGCACACTTGCGGCTGCAAATCTCAACGCACTTCAAGGTTCACAGCAGTCCCTGCGAGGGGGGCGGGCGCACATGATGCCAGTGCCAAGCATTCCCCCGGCTATGCCGGCATCCACGATGCCGAAGGTCGATTGGCTCAGGTCCTCAACACACAGCTCGTCCCGTGCAGCTCGATCTGTCAGCCTGCCGAGGGCTGCCGTTTTGCCACTTCACATTCCATGCACTGACTGCATCTGACGGCGACAGCTCAACTTCACAGAAACTGGTCAGCAAGGGCACCCTGCAATCTCGTGCTCCATGTCCCGGATCGACATCGAATGGGCGTCCCTCAAGGTGCACGCGATGATGCCCCGCGGGCTGGGAATGGGGATGCTGATGTCCACCTCCGCACTGAATGAGTCTGAATGAGAAGACGGGGACATGCCGAGAAGAGAGCCGAGGGTGAGTACATGGGCATGTACAGGTCAGACCAAGGCTCGAGCATAGTCTCGCCAGACGGTCTCCTTGGTCCTCTTGAACTCCGTCTGAACTAGCAAAGGGGATTCTAGTATCACAGGGGACTCTTTCTAGCTGGTGCAGCTGGTGCTTCCAGGGCATAGACACCAGTGTGAACCCCACAGCAAGCAGCGGTCCCGTCATCAATGATCGCGTTCACACCCGGAACCTGCACGACACCGATGAAACTGAAGGGGGATGAAGATGGGATGAAGAGAGAACACAGTCCAAGCTAAGATGATGGCCTCAGCGATCGTCAAGCAGCTGGCCTGGCCATCGCGATCGCTTGCAGTAGCTTTGTCATGCTTTGCATGGCAGGTTTGCTTGGGATGGCCTTGACGATAAGCGACAGCATTCCCAGCTGTGGTCCATGCAGCTTCTGGAACATGTCCTGCCCCAGGCAGAGCGCTGCTCACAGCATGGTCTGCCGAAAGCCCGCGCTGGCGTTGGGCGCTCATTGCTGGGGCCTTGTACTTGGAGCGCAGCCTCAGCGCAGCTGTCATGTCCACCTCCTGACAGCAAAAGGCGGGGAAATGGACTTGCAATAGCGTCATCTGCTGCAGCAACAGCAGCGGCCTGAAAAGTGGAGAGCAGTGCCGCAGTGTTCTGTGTCTCCTCATCTCACTCAGCGGATGTCTGCTGCGCCCTTGTGCTCTTGCAGCTCTGCATGGATCGCTCAGCTTCCAGCTTTTAACCGTTTCATGACGCGCTGTCGGACGAAAGACACCGGCACCCTTCTCTCCGTGCAGCCCTGACAGAGACAGTAGACAGTAGAAGTCACACTTCTCAAGGACTCTACGAGCAGATTGACGACATGTGCCTCCCCGACCGTCACCACGGATGGCGCAGATGCAACCGACGCTGCTGCAGAGGCCTGAGCTGCCGGGACCTGAGCTGCTGTGTCAAGACACAGACAAACAAAGCATTATAAAGCCGCGACAAAGGGGGGCATTCGGTGAGATGGTGGATGCAGAGTTGCAGGCGCACAAGGCACAAGCAGGTGCCCACGTACGGCCATGCTCAAGCATGCCCTGTAAGCCGCGGGCCTCTGGTGGAAGACCAAGCCGCTCAGCGGCCAAGCGGGCAAACGCTGCACGGAGACCTGCCCGTGGCTTGGCAGGAGCTGAGTCGTAGGATCTCTCCCAATGTCTCCCGGCAATTCTGGTGGCACCAGGCTCTCCACAACAGTCCTGTCTCGGCGGTCAAGGCTCTCTGCGCATCATTTTGCATCTAGTTGCACCACTTTGCTATGTTTGCAGTGGCCTTTGACGGACATTACAGCCTGCTGACAACTCGTACTTTCACCTCCTTGCATTTCACAGAATTATACGGTTACGTTACCGATCATTCCCGTATCCAGTTTCGATATCCATCTTTCTTGGGCTGATTGGTGTTGCGGTACGGCTTCGACCCCGGCATATCCCAGCACCCTCCCCACCTTATCCCTCAGCGCCAAAGTCACACGCAGGAAAGCTGCTAATTTCTAATCAGGCACTACTCCCTACCCCATCCTGCCTGGAGCGGACGCCATGCCTTGACATCAACTCTTTGCCCTCTGCATGCATGCGCCCGGACCATCAACAGCTTCAAGAAGGCAACTGCGTCGGAACTGACTTTCATACAACAGATGAACCATATATTCTGTAAGGGCAGGACCGGACGCATGCCGCACCTGAGACCCACTACCGTGAAAAGGCCCACAGCGGGTATGCAGCGGATGCACTGCTGTCTTGTAGAACCAACGCAACACCCGAGCCTGGAGTGGAATCGCCGCCTGGCAAGCACCCAGCCAGTTTCTCTTTATCTGCAACATGTGGCACTGTACGCCTACCCCACGTAGGCAGGTCAACGAAACACAATGCATTTGCTGGATCGATCATGTTGGATCATATACATATTCGTACTCATATCTTAAAGATGTGGCATTCCGCGATCTCAGCACACTTGAAGTGGGGCAAGACACGATCGGCAGTTCAAGCTAGAGACAAGCTTCAGCAATCGCACTCAGGGAATGATGCTTCGATGCTGTGTCTACCGGTAGCGTACTCCACCGTGTTGCTGACGGTTTCATGAAAATGTCGAAGCTGCTTCCTCAAGATACATCTGATATCGTCTGATGTTTGTGTGTTCAGACCGGGTTCTGTGGTAGTTGTTGGCATGAGCAGCTTCAAGTCCTCCAAAGAAGCACAATACCTGGTGGCCTTCGCTACAGCTCAATTCTAGTGCCAGTGCCGTCTCCAACTTTTAAAGATGCTATACTACAGCACATGCCAGTTCAGGATGGCACGATGGCGCGCACGCGCAACAGATGTCCGACTACTCAGGAGCACCACTCGCAATATCTCGACATGCAAGCAGCAATTGAGGTGCTGCGTGAAACTGCTGCAAGGTACCAATGTAATGATATCCAACAGCTCACGGGGGGGAAGTGTGTGATTGTCTGTCTACGTACTATGATATATACGTCAAAACGGAATTCGACATGTATGAGAATGCAAGTCTGGCCTCTTTCGCAGTCCTGGAAAACTTTGGCGGACCAATAGCGGGACTTTTTATCGTGGATATGTTGAAACGTGGATACGACCGCTTTCTGTAAATGGCCCAACACGGACCTTTTGATCAAGGCTCAGATTCAGATCGAGATCCTTTGCAGGTCGTGTCGAACGGTCGAAGCTTCGGTGGCGCATCAGAGCGATTAGATGTGGTTTGTGCGCCGCCGTTGTCGGGAGCTTACGGAGTTTGGGGTATGGTTATGGGCTATGGACTTGACAAATCAACTTGACAAACTCGGCTTCGCAAGGCTTCGCACAAGTTACCGCGCTTTCTGATGCTGAGCAGCCGGCCCGCGGAAGAAGCGCCATCGCAGATCGCGCTGCGCAGGGCATGGCTGATGCCCCCTCCCTCACCACTCTCTTGAGCCCGACTGGTCAACAGAGCAAACGATAGGGCATTGTAGAATGCATCACGTCCCAAAAACATGGTGTAGGTGTTTGTTATACTCCGATACCAACGTCCCCTGTCCATGTCGTTATACAGCTGCAGCGGCTTCTCTCTTCCCTTGCCTCGAGCACGACCTTATTCTAAGCTCCAGGATAAGCTCAAAGCACCAAGAGATGCAGAAGTGGCAACACAATTCACAGCCGGGTGCGGGGCCACGAAACGCGACGTGCGCTCGCGGAGCACGTCGTAAGCCCTGGTAAGCTCTGTGGCTCTGGCGGCTCTACCGATTCCAGGAAAGCCCGTGCAGAATTCGGCTGCAATCAGGGCAGGTACTTCAACTGTTCACTTCGCTTTCTTTCTAGAACTTCGATACAAACTGCTCGGATCAAAAGGCTCGATGGAACTTTGGGGCATCGCATCCCGAAGCTTTCTTCTTTGGGACTCGGCTCGCCGAAACCTTTGCGACTGTACCACCCTTCGGACCTCTTAAAACCTTCTGACCCACCGTGTAAGCAGACGGGGGTGGGGCCTTTGGTTGTTGTAAGACCCTCGGCTTCAAAAGGTGCTGTGACTTGGTTGTCGCTTTGGGTCTCTCCGATGGCACGCAGGAGACAGAAACTCAGAAGCCGGTGGCGCGCTCCATCAACTTGCGGGTGTTGCTTTGCAAGCGTTCCTTCGCTTACGAGGTTTGAGTGTTCGTGTCCGCCCCTTACGTCATGGAAGGGCGTATCGGTGCTTGCTCGTATGAGCACTGACAATGCGACCGGTAACCGAAGTGAGGACTGAAAAATCTTCTGCATGGGTACATATGGTACATGCACAAAATTGCACAAACATCCAGCTTTTGACCTGGACCTCAGGCCCGCGGCCAAGACAAATCGGGTACTCTCTCGAAAGCATGTTGCCTGCGCTGCAAGCCCTTGTCCACATGGCACTCGTCGCCATTGCTGGAGCTTCCGCAGACGAGCTGGGCAAGCTCCGACATTTCTCGCAGTGTTTGGCGTTGGTGTGAAGACCAACACCTCGACGCTGCCACTTCGGCTCTGGCAAACGCCAGGCAAAGCATCTCTAAGCTCTGAGGCCTCCACCATGGTGCTGACGACAGTCTCGCAAGCCAAGCGGACATCTTGTCAGAGGCAATGGTGTCGAAGGCCAAATCAGGACACATCAATGTCTGGCGTGCAGAAACCTGTCAGGTACATGCACATAATCAACCCTTCGAATCAATCTAGGGTCAAGAAGCGGGGGTTTGGAACAACAACCTCAAGTCTCCGCGTGGAACCTGCACGGCCTTGAAACACTTCTGCTGCACAAAGGCCTCGCACATGTCCGGCGCACGTTGCACCCGAGATTCAAAGCAAACTGCTTCAAGCCGAAGGCCACAACGAAGATCCCTTATAGGGACCGCCTCTAGGGATGGGGATAACCCGGCCAGCTGCCCCTAGACTCTGTTGTAGGCAAACATTCAACGGGCCTTCAGATTTTCGGGTCCGGGCCGAAGCAGCCGACACGCAGCATTTGTATGCACTTCCAGATCTTGCATGCAGCCTCTAATCGAGCTCGGCCGGCAGCCGAATGTTGGTTCCACACGATGTCCAATAGCCTTGCGATGACTTTTGACAGGTGAGCGGGCTGGACGTGGCTCCGTGGAGGCTTCGTTTGGTTAGGCTTTGGCTGGCGAATTAGAGGGCTTGCCGGGTTTGCAGCACAGTTCCTCGCAGGCTATATTCACTCGGCTTGGCTGCTGACTCTCTCAATCTACCCACAAGTAACCACCTTTAACCACCTATGCAAATCACATGAGCACCCTAGCACCCTATGTGCATCTGATACTTGGATCATTTTCGCTGCTCGGGTGCAGACACAAGCAGAAACACACCGCCAACACAACACAGAGGGGGACGGTAGCCCACTTCCTCCCGGGAGGGCGGGCGGGAAAAATTCTGGCAGCAGCTACTGCAAGTCGTTAGAAAGAGTAAGCGGCCGGCTCACAGAAGCGGTCTGCGGCGCTGGGGAAGTGCTCCAACGAGCCCAGCGCTGGCCTTGTTCTTGAGATTCGTGTGGGAATCTGTTGAAAGGCATGCACATCATGCACGGAAAACTGGACTTCCTGCTCTATTGCTCTACCTTCTCGTAGACACAGAGTTCGCATGCTGACTGTTATGCTTGAAGATATAGTTGCTCGAAGGAAGGACATGTTGAGATCTCAAGGAGGCAGGCATGACTTCGGTCTCCAACTCCTGTGTGAAGATCTCAATCGATTCCTGGCGGAGGTCCATGTAGCACATATGTTCGGTGCACTTGCTTGACCCTGTAGTGCGCATAGCGGCCGCGAGTAGTTTCACCACTCAGGGCCTGAAGATGATCGGCACCTCGAGAAGTCGCATCTGGACCTGGCGAGACTTCGCTGCTCTAGGGGCCTTTTTGTGGCATCTTTTCCGGCTTTGCCCAGAAAAGACCTGAGGATCGAGAGTGGAGCTGGGTGGCTTCGAAGCGGCCTCTGGCAACCTGCAAGTTTGAAACGCAAACATCGGGGAGCTCTCAAACCTGCAACGTGTGATACAAGCGGCCTTTCCTTCAGCAAATCGCACAGAAGCCCTTCTCCTCGAGCTAAGCTTAGTCCGCGATCTCGGGCAGCCTTCCAGGACATGACTGTCTACCTCGAAAACCTCTTGACTGTCATCGGCATTCCCGGACTGCAATATTGCTAGCGAAGCAGAAGAAGGTGAACACGGACAATCACCACACAGGCAGAAGGATCCTCTGCGAGATTTTACCCCTTGTCGCATCAAAGGACTGAGATCCTTCCTTTGAGCTCCTGTGCCATGACTGCCCTGCATCAGCAGCCGGTGTTTTTCCTGCCGCCTTCACCGGGTTCCCCGTAGTTTACCGGCAGCATCGGCTCAACCAGTCCCCACATGCACTCAAACCCCCCCAAAACACTCACACAAGTCGAAGAAGGTAATTCATCGTCTCCCAGAAAAGCTTCGGGAAACGAGCGAAGCACCCGCCTATACCACTGGTCTCTCCGGCCAACGCGGAAGACAGAGTCTGACTCGTTGCTTTTTGAAGGTAACCATTCTAAGCAAAACCAAGCCGAGCGAAAACAAGCCGATGTCTTCCCGGGTTTCATCACGAGCGGCAACAGGTTCATCGTCTGGCGCTTCCCCGGCCGTGGTCTCCAACTAGGCAACACCACACAATCAAGTCTACACATAGGGGATATGACCAGCTCCCCTGGTCTTCTGGCACAGAACCAGCCTTTCGATTCGACGGCGGGTTTGACCCAAATTGCATGATTTGATGCGCATGCACCCAAACCTGCCGAACCACACAAACGAATCGAGCCCTGCGAAGAGCGACAGTTCGTCAGTTCGTGTCGAGTCCAGTGAAACTTCGACAGTCGAGGCATGACCCTCCACGAATTGACGCATGAGCGTCCGAATGCGTCCGAGCAACTGCTGCCAACAAGAAGAAACTTGTCCGAACACAGCAGCATGTCCGAAACGCCGCAGACTCTCTCTGAAGCTCGCCACATGCGCCTGGGCCTCCTCCCTTCCGAAAAAGGCTTCAACAACCTGGCGTCTAGCAGAGTTTAACATCTTCTTGGGGCTGAGGAACGATCAACGTCACGCAAAAACTTGACGTGGCAAACTAAAGACCAACAGCACACTTCTGAACATCCATTTGCATGCATCGGGAAGCTAGCAAATTTGAAATTCTGGTCTCCGAAGCTGCCACTTGGCAAGCGGTTCGTGGCAACGGAAGCATGAACATGGCTGCTTGCGGCTGCCAGATTCCCCCTCTTCCTCGAAGTTAAGATGCACTTCATGCTTGCACGGGAACTGCATCCGCCTCAAGCTTGTAAACGAATTAGCGGTCCTTTGTTTTTCTAGAGTATGGTCCCTTGTTGGGCACCCAAACTACAACGGGTAGCAGTAAGTCACGCCATCGAGCGGGAAGTCGCGACACGGGAAAGCGTGAAGTCACGGCACGGCGCGCGAAGTCGAGCCGTGAAGCGAGTACCCGAGCGCAACTTGGCAAAGGCATGGTGCTAAACGCGACGTGTGCGTGTGTGTGTGAGTGTGTGTGAGTGTGTATTCAGTACGCCTTGGTGGCACCGTCGACCTCGTCTTCCACAGAGACATAGCAGAAGCCGTAGGCTCGGCGAGGATCGTACCATTTTATGCTCGCCTGCATCTGGAAGATTGGAGAAGGGCATAGAAGGGCTCCAAAGAATGGGGAAGGATCAAGCCAAAGCTACTCCAGGAAGGCATCATGTGCTTGGTGTGCCTTGAGGGCTGTCCCTAGATCATTCCAGATCCCTCACAATTAATCGAGTATAATCGAGTCTATTTTTTCTAATATGGATTGAGACACATGGAGTAGCGTGGACTGAGCACGAACGCTTCTCAGACTTGAAGGGCTCTACCCACACTGGCACCACTGGAGCCACAACTTTTGCACGTCAAGGCCTCGGCTTGTAGCGCCAAAGCACGCGTGGTGTCTGTGTCCTGTCCTTCCATCTGGGCAAAGTTTTGGTTTTGCACAGCCTGTCTTTTCCTGCTACCCAGTCATCAGCCGCAGCGACCAAACCTTCCGTGCTGCAAACCACTGCGCAATGAATGCCATGATATGACAACCTGCTTCCTGGAGCCTCGCCAGCTGGCATGGAAGGCGCACATCCGTGTATCTGTCCTGTTCTTGTACGTGCTGACCTGTCGCACAAAAAGCTGGCAAACACCTTTTTTTGGCCAGCACAAAGCGATCAGCAAATCCTGCCGTACGCATCCTGCAGCAGGACTTGCAATTAAATTACTTTGTCCACGCACCCAAGCGAATTGCTAGAGTGCTGGACTTGCTTGACTGAAGATGCCTTTCGGCAGTACAGTCCAGTCGGAAGCCTTTCCATTGGCGCACCTTGTCTCAGAGGTCCAGGAGCATGCGGGCGGGATCCTGCCCCGTCGCGGCCGCACGCGCATTTCAGGAACTGGCCCCTTTCAACCCCCGCGCCACAGGCGTCCTGCAGCTTGTCTCGGACGTTGCAGAGGAACGTGACAGCCTCACGGCCATCAACCAGGCGGTGGTCGTAGGTCAAGGAGGTGAACCTGGCACTGGTCAAGACACGCTCTGCACGCTCTGCACATCGTGGGTCAACAATGTCAACAGCATCTGCCAGGCAGGCATGATGGGTCGAGCTTCAACTTTGCCATCCACCACCGTTACGCGTCCCTTGACCGCATTGGTTCCTGACACGATGATGGACGTCTGTTTCTGTTCTGGGGAAGTCCTCAGCGTCGGCTTGCTCCAAGCTCCCCGCCCATGGACGCGCTCTGCGGGTAGTTTCTGCAGGCACACTTGCGGCTGCAAATCTCAACGCACTTCAAGGTTCACAGCAGTCCCTGCGAGGGGGGCGGGCGCACATGATGCCAGTGCCAAGCATTCCCCCGGCTATGCCGGCATCCACGATGCCGAAGGTCGATTGGCTCAGGTCCTCAACACACAGCTCGTCCCGTGCAGCTCGATCTGTCAGCCTGCCGAGGGCTGCCGTTTTGCCACTTCACATTCCATGCACTGACTGCATCTGACGGCGACAGCTCAACTTCACAGAAACTGGTCAGCAAGGGCACCCTGCAATCTCGTGCTCCATGTCCCGGATCGACATCGAATGGGCGTCCCTCAAGGTGCACGCGATGATGCCCCGCGGGCTGGGAATGGGGATGCTGATGTCCACCTCCGCACTGAATGAGTCTGAATGAGAAGACGGGGACATGCCGAGAAGAGAGCCGAGGGTGAGTACATGGGCATGTACAGGTCAGACCAAGGCTCGAGCATAGTCTCGCCAGACGGTCTCCTTGGTCCTCTTGAACTCCGTCTGAACTAGCAAAGGGGATTCTAGTATCACAGGGGACTCTTTCTAGCTGGTGCAGCTGGTGCTTCCAGGGCATAGACACCAGTGTGAACCCCACAGCAAGCAGCGGTCCCGTCATCAATGATCGCGTTCACACCCGGAACCTGCACGACACCGATGAAACTGAAGGGGGATGAAGATGGGATGAAGAGAGAACACAGTCCAAGCTAAGATGATGGCCTCAGCGATCGTCAAGCAGCTGGCCTGGCCATCGCGATCGCTTGCAGTAGCTTTGTCATGCTTTGCATGGCAGGTTTGCTTGGGATGGCCTTGACGATAAGCGACAGCATTCCCAGCTGTGGTCCATGCAGCTTCTGGAACATGTCCTGCCCCAGGCAGAGCGCTGCTCACAGCATGGTCTGCCGAAAGCCCGCGCTGGCGTTGGGCGCTCATTGCTGGGGCCTTGTACTTGGAGCGCAGCCTCAGCGCAGCTGTCATGTCCACCTCCTGACAGCAAAAGGCGGGGAAATGGACTTGCAATAGCGTCATCTGCTGCAGCAACAGCAGCGGCCTGAAAAGTGGAGAGCAGTGCCGCAGTGTTCTGTGTCTCCTCATCTCACTCAGCGGATGTCTGCTGCGCCCTTGTGCTCTTGCAGCTCTGCATGGATCGCTCAGCTTCCAGCTTTTAACCGTTTCATGACGCGCTGTCGGACGAAAGACACCGGCACCCTTCTCTCCGTGCAGCCCTGACAGAGACAGTAGACAGTAGAAGTCACACTTCTCAAGGACTCTACGAGCAGATTGACGACATGTGCCTCCCCGACCGTCACCACGGATGGCGCAGATGCAACCGACGCTGCTGCAGAGGCCTGAGCTGCCGGGACCTGAGCTGCTGTGTCAAGACACAGACAAACAAAGCATTATAAAGCCGCGACAAAGGGGGGCATTCGGTGAGATGGTGGATGCAGAGTTGCAGGCGCACAAGGCACAAGCAGGTGCCCACGTACGGCCATGCTCAAGCATGCCCTGTAAGCCGCGGGCCTCTGGCGGAAGACCCAGCCGCTCAGCGGCCAAGCGGGCAAACGCCGCACGGAGACCTGCCCAGGATGATACAAGTTTTGGTACAATCGGCTGCCAATTGCCATTCCGATGGGGGCAGCACCCGACGCGCCCCGCACCTGAAAATCATGATCAAGAGGATACCAAGAGCCACTAGACTCACCAGATCTCACCAGGCCTGAGCCTGCTGCACCATCGCCTTGGAGCACATGATCCCGCTGAGCAAAGCTGAGACTTGACAAAACGGGAAGCACCCAGAAACAATCATGGAACGCTCCCGACTCCATGATGGGCTTTGCATTCACATGGCTTCGCACAGGTTGCCACGCTTTCTGGTGCTGAGCAGCCGGGCTCGCGGAAGAAGCGCCATTGCAGCTCGCGCTGCGCAGGGCATGGCTGTGCCTGCAGATCGCTGTGAGTCATGTGGAATCCCTACACGGCAACACGGCATTCCCTTCAGGCCTGGGACGGCCCTCCCCTCTCTATGCCCCCTCTCCCTCACCCCTCCCCCCAAAGCTCACTCTCTTGAGCCAACTGGGTGAACGATGCCTGCAGTGACGTCAGGCAGCGAAGGAGTTGCAAGGGAAAGTTTGATCCGACCTTAGCACGGTCCACCTGCCGAGGAGACATCCAACTTTCATCAGCACATATGTAGTAGTTATTCCAACGTATGTCAATCTTCCGGACGTTGGAAGAACCAACTCTGCCATCTTAGATCCAGCTCTATTTGAGATGAGGGTTTTTGTGTAGCATTGTCGAATGACAGGCGACGCGCATTAAGCTGCGCCGCTAGTATAAAACCAGCACTGGCCATCGTGCTGCACCGCACCTTGCCAGGACCAGAAAGACTTGCCCTTGCATGCCGTTTCCATCATAGAGAGCTTCACAAGTGTAAACGCGATCTTTGCATTTGGAAGCTGTGAAAGCATATGACCATTTGGCATCAATTATGTTGCAAAACGTTGCAATGAATTCCTGCAACGCCTTTCCTCTCAGAACTGCCCCGAGCCGTACCTCCAGCATCAAGACTTTGACCGGTCTATTGACCAGTCTCAAGATGTCTCAAGATGTCTCAAGATGTCTCAAGTTTGCCTGCAGATAGCTCCAACTACTCTCCAGCTCACTCCCTGCAATGTGGGCTCAGCGAATGCCAAGTCTAAGCTCAGGCAAGGTCTGGCCAGAGACTGGGCTTCCGCAAGGTGCTCCAGGAGAGGACTGTCAAGAAATCTGTACGGCATGCTTCGAATACTTCGGGCACGTGGCACATGGTGCTATGACTTGGCGGGCATTGGCCTGCAGCTTCTGCATCTCGGCGGCAAACTTCATCTGGGCCTGCACATACTTGACACAATCTCACAAAAGCTAGAAACATATCGAGACATCCGCGCAGGTCTTTGGACGACGTATACCAGGATCACTCTGCAGATGGACGCTTACGGATGCATCAAAGGTTAGAAATTTTACTCGACTCCATTGAGGTCTCCCTCGTTGTAGGCCAGATAGGCCACAATGAGGCACCATCCCCTTGGTCTGGAATCTCCATGGGACAGAGGTCTCACGATCGCACGCAAAAAGCACGAGCCCTTCAGGAAAAATGTCCTGACAATCATTGTTTGGCAGATGACAGGACGACCTCCCTAAAAGCCCTGTTCTGGATTATGGCAGGAAACCTGAAACATCCTGAAGCTGTGCAAACAAGCAAGCGGTGGCTTGAAAACCCACACGAGGAAAAGAATAAGCAAAGGTGCCTGGAATGCAGGTAGAAACCCTAAAGCCTGAAGACCCCAACAGCGCAGCGACTGAGACAGTTGAAAGTTGCATCCTTAAGACGAAAAAACATTGCCATTGGGAGGTCTTAAATGAAGTGAAGGGCGAGCAGATTGGGGCAAAGAGATAGAGGTGTCAATTCCAGAAACTTCGGAGATTTTCGGAGGACAGCTGCCCTGTATTGCTGAGTGGGCACCTCCCAGAGCCCAAGGAAGCACACCAATGTTTGCAACTCGCTCCCCATTTTAGAGGCAGTAGACCCAGAACCTCTGCCAGACCATGGCGGCATGTCAGGCAAACCTGGTCGCCAGAGAAGTTGCGTATCAGTGCGGGCACATGGTGACATATTTGTGAGGACAGATCGCACGGTGGCACGCGCATCTCGCTTTGCAGAGTGATGCTGAGCAGTTGTTGTTCCTGAGCTTGTGCTGCGTTCGGGCATTCCAGACCTTCATATCTTCAGCGCCCACCCGGCCAGCGAAGGCTTCAGCAACGAGGGAAGAACCGAAGCCCTTGGGCAATTGGCTGCGGTGGCCTGGTAGCTACTAGCGCTGACGCTCTTCGACCGCCGCAACCTGGGAACCATCAGCCGCGCAGGCTGCCCTGGAGCCCGCATGATGAGAACCGCCTGCAGTGCTCTCGTAACCCGGACGAAGACCAAACCCGAACAAGCCCGAGCACTTGTATGGGCTCAGTCTGGAGGCAGGACCCCGCGCGGAGTGGGCACAGGCAAACTCGCAAGGAGCAGCAGCGGGCAGGGATGACAGCAGAATTTGATCGAAGTGAGCACGTTAACGATGCGGCAGTAGTGGTTGTGAAGCCGGAAGTGATATAAATGCTCGGGCTGCAAAACGGCAAAACGGCAAAACTAAGGTTCACTCTCCAACCTGTGGGACTGGGCGGCTCTGGCACCTGGCGGCGAAAGACGACGGGAAAGCGAACAACATAAAGATGGCTTTTTCCACATCCAAAGCAGATGGCGCACTTTTTGCCAACACCAGCCGCACCGATTAATCCAGGCAGGCAGGCAGCAAGGTTCAAAAGCAAGGTTCCTTTGAGAATTCATTTGTAGCTCCTTGGATGTTATTTTGCATCTCTCTGAATTCGAGAAGCATGTCGGGAACGGGTAAACCCCTCCTGCCCCTACCGCCCTACCACCCTGCCCCCTATCCAGACGGGAGTATGATTGGGTATTCCTAGAACAGAACACCCTGCAGGTCTCGAGGTTGAGTGATTCTGGCACCACCAGGGCAAAGAATGGAGAACATGTAAGCGCAAGAAGAACATGCATTCTGATGAATGCCGTGTGTGTTTCAAAAGTTGTTTGTTTCTCGTATTTTGGTCTCTGGGCAGAAGGGGTGCCAGGAAATGAAGCGCATATGACGTAACTTGCAAGCCGCAACCTCAAACCCGAAAACGCCCTAAACACTAAAACCCCACAAGCAGGCTCGAAAACCCTAAACCCCTAAACCCTAAAGTTCCCAAAGCCCTAAAACCCTGAAACCCTAAAGCCGTCAGCCCTAAAGCCCTAAAACATCTAAAACCTACATCCCTGCAACCCTAAACCACTAAACCCTAAAAATTCCCACAAACTCTACGGGCCTTGATCCCAAAACCCAAAACCCCTAAATCCTAAACCTAAAACCCTAAAACCTCAAAACCCTAAAACCCGAAAACTCAAAACCCCGAAACCCTAAAACCCTAAAACCCCCTCCCCGAAACCCTAGACCCTAAAACCCTCAAACCCTAAAACCCTCTCGAACCCCAAACCTTTAAAAAAATGATACCCCAAATGGCTAAACCGTTGAACCCTAAATCAGCTCTTTGGTTGTACATACTTTGGACCTTGCAGAGTGCAGCTGGCAAAATCCACTATTCTTCAAGCCAATTTGTTCATTGAGCAGCACACTTCACTAATGCCAAAGCAATTCGCACAGAAACCTGCTGATTTTGCTATGCGATGTCAGTCACGATTCACAGTGAGGACTTGGGCAACACTTGGCCTACCTTCTATCATTGTTCAGCCTCAAGGGGCCGAACAAGTTCGCACGATACGGAGAGATCCCGATGCAGCCATCACAACCTTCAACTGCGTTACGCAGAAACTGCTAACTGAGTGGGCTGTACTGGAGGCCTCCTACACTGGCTGAGGCGCAAATCAGAAAACGTGAGTCGGAAAACGCGGAGCGGCGAATCGGACGATCGGAAAATGTCAGGGACGAATCGGGAACTGTGCTGGGCGGAGTCGCAAAACGGGGGCGGTTGAAACAGAGAAGGAAAGCTCGACGCGGACACGCCCTGTATTAAAAAGAAATTTGAAAGTTTGATCTTAAATAGTACCAGCAACATGGAAACAAGTTTGAATTCAGCTTTGCAGAAGCTCGAAACGGACCCTCCCTTAAAGCCTATTGTGCGCCGCAGCAGCCACGCCTTTTCTAAAAGACAAAATTAGAAAGCTTTGTTATTAAGTCGCGCCGGAAAGACTACATCAGAAAACACGGAAAGCTCCAAATCAGCACCGCGGAAGCTCGAAACGAACCCTCAGGGGTCTATGGATTTCCTGGATAGGGTCTGGGGATAGGGTCTATGCACAGGGGTGTATGGAAAAATGGCAGACCCCTGCGTATAGGGGTCTATAGGCAAGTCGGCAGGGCCTATGCATAGGGGTCTGTCATACAGACTGTAGGTTGACAGCATAGGTACCTATCCAAAACCTATATATATATATATATATAGATATAGATATAGATATAAATATAGATATAGAGATATATATATATATATATATATATATGAGCCTTTGGCAAGCACAGGCTCGTCCGAAAGAAGCAATGCCGCCGCGTCCAGTTCTTGCTCAGAAATGAGGGCCACCACCCCCTTGTCTTATGATATTCAATTCCCTTACAACACAACTGCGGGTCGATTTTTCCAAAATGAATAAAGTCAAAAATTGGTGAAGTCAAAACCAAACAAACATCAAAATCAAAATCGAAATCAAAATCAAAGAATCGGCTGGGGGTCTATCGACGCCTATACTTGCCAGACCTAGCTTCGAGGAAGACTTTGAGAAGTAAACACTAAACCCTAAACCCTAAAAACCCACTAAACCCTAAACCCCAAAAATCCCTAATCCCTAAACCCTAAAAACCCCTAAACTCTAAACCCAAAAAAAACCCTAAACCCTCAAAAACCCTAGCAAAACAAAACCCTAGACCCTAAAAACCCCTAAACCCTAACAACCCCTGAGCCAACAATCCCTAACAACCCCTAAACCCAGAAAACCTAAACCCTAAAACGCCTACAATCTAAACACAAAAAACCCTAAACCCTAAAAACCCATAAGCCCCAAACCCTGAAAACCCCAAAACCCCAAGCCCTCAAAAACCCGAAAACCTCAAAACCCGAAGCCCTAAACCATAACAACCCCTAAACCCTAAACCCTAAAAACCCCAGAACCCTGAAGCCTAAAAAGCCCTAAACCCTAAACCCTAAACCCTAAAACCCCCTACACCTTAAACCCGAAAAAACCCTAAGCCCTAAAACCTAGAAACCCATAAAAACCATTTACATAAGAATATCAATCCATACGGCCTGGGGGTCTGTTTTCCGGATAGGGTCTATTCTGAGGGCAGTAGGGGCCCGCAGTTTTCGTGGCGCGCTTTGCCGTACAAGCTTCAGAGGTTTAACGGTTTCAGGCTAAGGGTTGGAGGGGAAAGCAGATCTACGACTGCGAACATAGTTGTCGAAGGCGCCTAGCAAGCGTCATGTTGTGCCCTGTGTCAGGTTGGGTCCGGTTTTTCGAATACAGCCTAGCGCTTTCCGATTGGAGCCGGCCCGTTTTCGGCTTCACGTTGGGCCGGTTCGGGCCCCCGTTTTCGGATTCGCGGACTGCATACTTAACGCGGCACTGGAAACCTGAGCTTCCCCTTGCGATCAGTGTGACACTCACCCTGTCCTCAATGTGCTCTCGCTGAAGTTGCTGCTGCTTGGCAAGCATTTCCTCTTGCGACCTGCCAGGTTGAAAGTTAGCATCGTCAAAGAAGTGGAGAGTCCTGGACTGAGTGGTCAACCGTTTCTGTTGGTACTCCATGACCAACTGCATAGCCTGCCGAGATGCTGCAACCACTGCCACCAAAATGCCCAAGGTTCACCTTGCCATCACAGCCTGTGTTTCGAGCGCCGATTTTTGCTGCGCCGAAGCCTGTTGCACCTGAAGCCAGGGACAGTCTCGAGGCTCGCTGCCCTGTCTCTGTCGGCTTGCGCAGCTTCATAAGTTCAACAGCGGTCAACCACACGGTTCCCCACACCTGCATCAATGACTGGTTGTATTGCTGCAAGAGTTGCCTGGGATAGCGGAGTCCGTGCACTGCTGCAGCCGAGAAAGACCGAGCAAGACCCTCAACCGGTAAATGCTGTTAAAAGTTGCATTTCTTGCTGCTGCACCTGCAGCGCAATGGACTCATTGGCGACGGCACATGTAGGTGGGTTCTTGGAATGCCGTACATATCCGTACATGCGAAGTGGCCTGCTGCTTGATCTGCATGTCAACCTGCTGCTTCTGCTGTTGGGCCTCGCAACTCCCGGAACCCGCAAAATTCAACAACCTCTCGGCACTGGCCTGAGTCCGAAGATATTCAGACTGCTGCTTCCGTTGTTGCTCCAAGGTATTCTGGCAGGGAAGCACGCAAGATCGGGAATCAGACTTAGAACGTCAAGCTGTCAAGTTTGCCTGCCCTTGCTTCAGCTGTTCGTCCAACAACCTGCCCAAATGTTCTTTGCGGGTGTTGGAGCATCCATACGCTGCACTGTTGAACTGCTTAGGCCTGATGTAGCCCTCCTTCTGTTTCTGTATCACCTGCACAGTCTTACCATGCCATTGCGCAACAAAGCCAATGAGCATCGGCTGAGGCGACAGGGCGAAGAGCAGAAAAGAAAGGCACAACACAAAGGAGCAGGTCAAAGATCAGAAAGAAGCCGAACCATGCCTCGGGGCTGGGCAGACCAGCGCCCGGCACCAAAGCCTCAATTCGAGAAAACTATGCACCAAAGCATGCACCAATCTGGTGTCAGGGAGTAAAGCCCTCAGAACTGGCCTACGACTGGCTACGAAAGCACAAGCCAAAACAAGAGCTGCCGCCGCTGCCACTCTGCGACTCGGCCTCACACCCCGCAGCTTCCAGGCCTAGGCGACACATGGCGGCACATACTAAGGATGCCTGGCTGTGTCAGATTCACGCCCATCTCCAAAACTCTCCAAACTCCTGCGGACCTGGCTGCTGAGAAGCATTGAAACTTTGGGCCTGCAGCTGCGGTTGATTCAGCACCTCGGCGCACCACACCATCCTCCACTTCGCCGCAGAGGACGACGAGAACAGGCTGAGAACGGCAACACAGCAAATCCAACAAATCCTCTGAGGTGACAGCCGGCGGAGAGAACCCCGGAAGCTGCACAGCAGGCGGTGGGGGAGTTTGGAGCTGCGGGACAGATTGCCCCGACTGTGGGGCCGCATACCTCAGCAGCGACTCAGCGACTCCAGGACTGCCAGAACGTGGAGTGAAAACGGAGCAACTTGCAGCAACTTGGGTCCTGGCGCCATCCCGGCTGCTCCCGGTCCCTCAAAAAGTATTGTTGGCATGCATTGGCGGCTTCTGTCTTCATTGTCTTCTGAAAGAGAGCTCTTGCCCCCGACAGTTCTGTCAGTTAAGACGTCGGCTCCGCAAGCTCCGCAGCCGATCACCGCTGGCTCGGCACCAGGCCTCAGCTCTGAAGAGACATCTCTCTCGCATCTCGACTCGAATAAGGTCGTTTTGTCACATAAACAAGTTTTCGAGATGCGAGACGTTTTGAGAGATGTGGAAGAAAAGATCGGACAGATTCTGGATCAGAATCGAGACGTCGATGCTTGTGGCACGTTGGCTGGTCGTTTCTTGCCGTGGTTCATCTGTGCAGGCTGCTCTCGAGTAAGTGTGACACCCGCCAAACACTGGACGAGTACTGCTTCTGTCCGTGGTCTCACGCGCAGGACGAAGAGGCGTTTCAAAAGCTACTTGTTGTGCAGATTCTTTGTCCAATTATTGATGACGTGTCCATATTGCCATGGATACTCCAGCCCAAGCTGCAGCTCAGGACGCAGTTCCCCCCCAGTAGTTGCTTCGTGACTCTTGCTAGCATGGACGGGTGGCTTGCTTCGAGCGACAGCCGTGCAGAGAAGAAGCCCCGGACGGCAGTGAGCGAGAAGCCTGAGCTTGACAAAGCCATGGTGGGGAAATTGCTGCTACTCCTTTCCCAGCTTTCACTTCGTCATTCTCTTGAAATCCGCGAGCTTCAATCCGCTGTGTTCCGAACTGTGGTGATCTCCAAAGACTCCCCGTTTGTCAGCGAGGCTCAGGAGGCTACGCGCATTTTTACAGAGAAAGCAAAGGGTGCGCGCGAACAGCGCAACCACAAGATGCTGGAGGATTTAGGCGAGCCGCAGTACCACAGTTGGGCAGCGATGGTGAAGGTTGCCGTGAGTGATGGGCAGGCGACTGGTGAAGATGCAGAGGTGCTGAAGCAGCACTTCAACAGTGTCACGGCGGTGTCAGATCTGATTGACAGGGTGCTCATTGCAAAGGTCAAGCGTTGCTTCGACAAAAAGATGAACAAGATCCACTTTGCGGTGTGCCCTGACATGTCGCCGATCCTCGATGCCTTGCTCCGCACCATTGGTAAAGCTGGTGGTCGCATCAAGCGAGGCACAGCTCCGCGCTCTGGCAATGAACGTGAGCTGCAAGATCTTGTCGACAAACTGAGCAAGATCGTAGGTGACGTGTGATTTTGATAATGTTCGCTATAACAAACACGTGCAAGAGTCATGCTGTTTGGTGGGATGGAAGGCCTGTATGCCGTAGATTTCATGTCGGGCTGCATGGCTCTTCCTATTCTCCAGGGGCGGCGTTGCCTCATAGGTGCCGCTGTGCGTCTGGGGGTTGTTCGAGTTCCCGTGGCATCCTAATCGGCCACCTGCTCGGCCATGACGTGAGGACTTGTCAGAGTGCCGTGAGTGAGTGAGTGTCCAATTTCGAAGACGTTCATGAAGAACACCTGGGCAACACAACAATCGAAAAGCCTGGATCCTGCGTGCCGAGCGAATGTTTTGCGCAGCATCGCAGAACACTAGAGCTGCTGGCACGACGGAAAGCCGGCGGTTGTGGTTTTTGCTGGCTCACGCAGGCAGCTTCGAGAGACGGGTGCCAGGTCATCATTGATAAACAGGAAAAGAAGCCACCTTGAATTCACACAGACAAACTCGCCCAGTGTACGACCACAAGCTTTGTCGATTTGCAGAGCAAGCTTTTCGGATTCCTGTTTTTTTCAGTCATGGTTCGCCCGACCCTTTTGAGCCCATGACAGTTGCAAGTTAGCCAGATCCCAAAGGCTGTAGCTTCGAGGAAGCTGACTTGAAGACCACTTGTGCTGCAGAAATAAGAACAGGAGTCAATCTGAAGCCAGCTAGTGCTTTTCTGGAATGTGCGATGCAAAGGTTGCAAAAGATGATGCACGAACTTGCAAGGACCAGGCGGAGGTACATACGAGGGAGTTCTTTGTGCCATGCCGTCCACCTGTCAAGTATCACAGAGACAAGGGATGGCAAAACAGGCATGTGAAAAGCGTCTGAAGGCACCTAAAGGCGCATGCAACAGCACGCGAAGCAAGGCCGGGAGCACTGCACCAAGGCCACCAAAGAATCCAAAAGGCTGCAAGATGAGTCTCTTGACAGTGGAAGTTGCGAGCTTGAACACGTCATTGACTCGAGGAATACAGCTCTATGGGACTCTATGGACTGCTCTTGCCGTCTGCCACATTGCGCATTCACTCCAGCGCACTTGCCTTCAGTCAGCCCTCACGAGGGCTTAATCAGCTGCGGCAAGTCGATTCATGTCGATTCACGTCGCTTCATGTCGGCTCATGTCGGCTCATGGCATAAGACTCTGGATGACTCTGGGCTTCACTGGGTCACGGTGAGGCTACTGCCCAATAAGCCTTGACGAGCCCGCTTTTTGATCCCAATCGCAAGCTGCGTGAGGCATGTTGCGGCTCCAAGCTCCACATTCTGTGCATTCGTGTGCCACTCCGCTGCGCCGTGCTATGCCGTAGCCCCTATGTGCTCCTGCGTGCTCTCGGGATTGACGCCTCCAGTATCCTCCGCATCCTCTGGGCCTGTCAGCGTCCACCAGCGTCCACCAGCGTCCACCAGCGTCCACCAGCGTCCGTCAGCGTCCGCCAGAGTCCATCAGCGTCCACCAGCGTCCATCAGAGTCCGTCAGCGTGCCTGAGATGACTTCTTTGCTTGCAGCGAACACTGTCAAGCCCATGGCCAGGATCATTTTTCTCATGTGTCCGTCAGACTTTCGGCAAGCGTCCTGAAAAAGACAGGATGCAACGTGTCGATGCAATAGAAGGCGCCGTGTCAGTGACTCAGCGCACAGTGCCCTGGCCCTATGGCGCCCTATGGCACCCTGTCTCCTGCTTTCAATCCGCAGACTCTCAAGGAGATGTCCATTTGGACCGTGGCCTAGGATGTGAGCAGGATGTCAGCACTGTGCGCCCATGCCGATGTGAAACACAAGGGCCAGGACAAATCGAGGATTCAAACTCGAAACGCCAAATCCAAGCCATGGGAGACCTAAGCAACGCAGGCCACTAGGCACGATCATTTTCCTGCCTTCCGCAGCACCACGCGCTGCAGCACGATGCTGGTTGCAGCCCTTGCCTCCGCGTTCTTCGGGAGAACCCTTGGGCCGCGCCAGTGTCATACAAAGAAATTCAACAGTGACTCAACAGGCATTCCACGTGCGGTGTTTTGGGCATTGGCCTGTAGCACACAAGACTTCAAAGTGGTGCTTCCTCGGGAGTCTTCCAGAAGAGACCTGATGTCCATGTGTTGACAGTATGATAAAGTGAAAACCGCACCCAAGCCTCAAAGGAACGCTTGGGAGTCGTCCAACTTCTGTGTCCTCCCAAGCCGCCAAGGCAAAGGCAGTGTGGCATGGGGGGGAGAGGGGGGGTTCGAGTATACCTCAGTTTGGTCAAACAACATGAACCAGCTAATTGTTGGCGCATGTGCAAAGCGACCTGCCTTATTTCTCTTGGAGCCCGAATCCCAGGTGCTGGTAGAACGGCTGCGTTGCATGTTTGAGTGTGCCCTGAAGTACAATATTCGATACTAGTAGTAACCAGTAGTAAACTGAGTAAACTGTTAACTCGATAGGTGCTTTGTACGAGCAACTGATTCAGGTGGATCTGGTTTTTTGGCGTGTTCTCGCTCACAAACGGCTTACACCCAGCCGTCTGCCAGCGTGCCTTCTTAATGACTTACTTGGTAGCTAGGCAGTCTTCAAGGGCCACGCGCGGAAACTTCGTAGAAAGATAACCTTCCTCAATGAGGACTGGCGCTACCATGGGGACTATTTCGTCAAGAGTAATATCTACTTCCGGAAAGCAGATGCTCGTCTGACAAACATATGATTTCCCTGCGGCGCTTTGGCGTGCCCTCGTTACCCTGGGGGCGATTCATGTGGGCACCGGGGGCCATCAATATTCCCTCAATGGCAGGGTGATTTGTGCCCTCATGAAAACTCCAGTGCAGTGTATGCATATCTTCGCTATATGCAGGGGGTTGCAAACTGTGGGAGAAACTGTACCTTCCTCTGCTGCTTCCGATCTACTACCTTCGTGCGCTTGGGCGGTGTGCCTAGCGAGAAGGATGGAATCACCAAGTTGGAATGTCAGGAGTCCTTCGAATCTAGCAAAGCGAAGTTCAAGCTCTTGGACGCATCAGAGGCATCAAGAATGTGCACGAGGACTTGGAACCTCAATGAAGCAGTCAGCCAACGTGCGTTACGGCCTGAAGCTCGAATGCTGGGTGGTCGGCCACTGCAACTTGATTCGGTAGTCATCTTTGCTTTGAACCTGCTCTCACTAGAGTTGTGTCTTGTGATCCGGAACATGATCTCCAGCCTCTCGAAGATGTTCCTGTTTGTTTTTGAACTCATCTCTGGTCCTGACTGCTGAATGTTGAGCCAACATGCAATAAGGATCGCGGGCGAAGAGGCGAGGAGCCATCCTCAAGTATGTTGCGACCAGCTCCTCGGCAATGCCCACGATTTGTGCCATGTCCTCTGGACAGAGCAATGTTGAGCGCTTGGATGGAAAAAGATCACAAGTGTCTGCACTCAAGCGGCCTTCAATGAATATCGACGGGCGTCGAGGTTGTCTATAACCTCATGATCTCATGTACAAAGAGTACATTGAGTACATTTAAGTGCACAAAAAAACTCTCATCTAGGATCGATGCCCAAACCATTCGCTCCTGACCTACCCCTTACGAGGCCGGAATTCAGGCCAGAGTTTGGGATTCGTAAAACCCCCTAAAACAACAGAAAGCCCGGCGGGCCCTCGATGACGATAAGCACAAAGATTTTGAATTTCTCAAGCCTTAAGCAAGCACAGCTAAAAAGACAAGCTTCCAAGAAGGGAGTAATAACACCTCCGAGAATTAAAGAAAAATTTGGGGAGAGGCAAAAACATAAGCCTTCCAAGAAGAGGAGCGGAAAGGACACAAGAGGACAGCCCCTTTCCGCCCACCTCCCCCCGCCCCCCGACCCCGCCCAAGCCCAGAAAATAATGGACCCCTTCCCGTTATTCCCGGGGGGGTGGGGGTGTTAATCAGAAGCAAGGATTATTGAAAAAATATTTATTTGACTTTCCAATGCGGGGACGCTCAGAAGCATTGAACTTCAGACATAAAAACGGGAGCGGGGGGTGGAAGGAGGTGGGGCCCCACCCCACCCCCACCACAAGCCCCACCACCCCCCACCACCCCCCACCACCCCCCACCACCCCCCACCACCCCCCACCACCCCCCACCACCCCCCACCACCCCCCACCACCCCCCACCACCCCCACCACTTGGAGTCCCCTGGCTTGGGGTTCCAGTGTCCAGGGGCGGTTTAGGGTAACTACCCTATGAAGGGACCAGTGCGGTCCCGAAGAGAAAGGATATCGTCAGCTTTGGTGTAGTACCCTCGTTTCGACCTATGGGGGCTTAGAGTTTGTGAGGAGAGGCTTGTGGGGTTTGACTTCGGCTTGAGAGCTTTAGAACTTGAGGACTCTCGTGGCTAGGGCGTTGTAATTAGGGCTGAAGGGCTTTAGGGACTGGAAGCTTCGAGGCTTGGGGTGTGGGGGGGACTATTGCCACAATGCACCAAAACAACGCTCCCTTCTGGGGCCTGGGACTCTCCTATTGCCCCTACAACCACTTTCCTTGAACTGCCGTGGAGCCCCTTGGAACCAGACCCCCCTAAAAGAATAAAACCTTCTGGGACCTGGACCCCTTGAACCTTCAAGGGGCTTGGAAGCCACAAAATCTGGAAAATCATCGGCTCATTCCTGCCAGTATTATGACTGGAATAGGACATTTTTCCGAATCTTGGGTTGCTGCCCACAGACTCTAAATCAGGGCTTTGTGAAAGACCCTCAACCTCCTGGACGGAGGAATTGTTTGGAAAGCAGACAGTTGACTTCAGTTTAGGCTTGTTTAAGCTCTACAAAGAATAAATTAGGAGAGTTTTGGCGCCTGAGACGGCGTGGTCGGGGTGGGATAAAAGTGATGGCCCTCCACAATCGGGCCATGGCTGCTCTCGCATATTCTCGCATTTCACGAAGCCTTTGAAGCTAGTCCTGTGCCATGTTCAAGTCCACCCTCTGTTGTGGGGTTAGTGCCAAAGCACATGCATGCACAGAAACTGGCCTCAGGCAGAATTAGAGCTGGGCTGCCACCGTAAACCCTAACACCAAAAGAACCTCGACCCTAGACTTCAAAAACCTATCATTGGTTTATCCAGTCATCCCAAACTGAACACTTAGCCCACGCAACAGTCATCGACTCTTTGCTGAGGCAAAAGGACACCTTTGCACATGCTTGTGCATCCCACCCATCAAGTACGGACGAGAAAAAAATGGGCTGCACACCGGAAACAGCCGAGGATTGATAGGAAGATCCGGAAAACGCAGCCTCTCACACTGCTGGAATGTCTGGAAAGTTCCAGTGTGCTGCACTGTGCTTAAACAGCACCTGAGAAGTAACCGCAACTGAGCAATTGGCTGATCTGATGGCAGCTGCCCCTTCTGGCTCACCTGAACTTGAGAATATCATTGTGACTTGGAAATCGCCCTAGTCCAACACGTCTCAGCTGGTTGCCAGCACATCCTTGTCATCGACCCATGTCCTTGCTCGAAGATGTCAAAAGTCTCAACGAGAAACGACCGACAGAGCATACAGCACGAGGGGTCCTCCATCGCAGACCACGCCCAACGTTGCCTTCGCTTGGAAAGCCAGCACCTCGAACTAGTTCGATCACCAGCGCCGCCGATGCAGCAGGTGCCTGGTTCCGCCCGGAGCAGCTGTAGCTGTAGGCTGTAGCTGCTCCCAATCTGTGCCAACATGAAGCTACAAGGCCCAGCTTAGCACCTTCTGCAACGTACTGTCTCATGTTGCTGCAGACAAACTGTCCTTCGACCCATCGCGGGCCCCTTTCAAGTGCCCCGTACCCAATGCCTCAACTAAACATTTGGAGATTTGATGCTGCTGCCCATCGTCCCTCTTCCTGAATCCCACTACCACGGCCACAAAATGATGTCCTCTGAATTCTCGCCTTGCTGGCCAATTTCTCATGGCTACAGAGTTCCTGGGTATACATCAACAGTTCATGTAGAAGACTTGCTGGCAAACATCCTCACGCTCGCTGCTTGATGTGCGCCATGAGGTCAGAGAACGAGGCTGCTTGTTGAGTTTGACACGCCATGCTGGACTGAGAGCACATTTGTCACAGCTGTTGACCTGTTCAAAACTCTTCGTTCAAATCTGTTCAACTCTTCGTTCGCTTCGTCGGCTGCTGCTTTGGTCCTCTCTGCACCCTGGCTTTGCAATGTTTTGCAATGCTTTGCTATGCTTTGCAATGCTTCGCAATGTTTTGCAACGCGTTGCAATGCTTTGCAATGCTTTGCAATGCTTTGCAATACGCTGCACCCCTGTCAGAGTCTCGCACTGTATCGTCCCAGCCATCTGCACCAACGAAGTCCTGAGAATTATGCTACGTGAACGCAAGTGACCTGAGAGCCACATCCCTGCGCGATCACAAAACCACAAATGAAAACAAGGGCCCCGCATACCACTGCACCTGCACATCCACCACGGATGGCAAGCCTCGATTCACTGGATCATCCACCTCCAGATGTTTGACGACATGGGGGCCAGCACATGCCATCACATGCCATCACGCTTTCCCACGACCCAAGAAGGCCACATGCAGGAGATCTCGCTGCACCTCACAAGACTCACAATTCGCTCTCAGAGTCACTTGGTACACAGCCCACGGATGAACGGCATGGCCTGGGAGGTGTCAAGTTTCTGTGTGTTGCGGCGAACTCCAGTCTTGCCCTGAGAAGCCAAAGGAACCGGTTATTGCTTCGCGCTGGCAAGTCTTTGTAGATCCGAGCCACCTCCTCCGGCCATCGTCTCAGGCAGTGTCCGATCCGACACGAAGAACCTAGGCAGGAACAAGCCACTTTATTTGAATCATGGGCGCTAGATGCAAGTGTAGGCACGTCCAAGAAATGCGGTGAAGTTGTGTTGAAACAGGCTTGCGCTCGCTTCACCATGTACCTCCAGCTGCCGCTTTGGACATCAAGAAAGACCGACGTCATGTCACACTTACCGCGTCCCACCGACCTCCACGAAGAGCAGCTGTTCCCGGTGGTGCACAACAAAATGAACATCTGGTCTCGGGATGACAGGTATGTCAAGGTGGCAACATAATTAGAGGCATACGAGCGACTGCAAAGAGACACGAAGCAAAATCAGGAGCAAATCAGGCATTGGCTCTGCTGCTGGCCACACAGGATGCGTGGTATCGTAGACCGTCGAAGATCGCACTGAGCGGTCCCCCAACCTTTATGCTCGCATGCAACCGCACTTTAGCGCCTGGAACTCGCCCGGAGGTCTGCATTGCACTTGACCCGAAAAAACATTCGCAAAGGGTTGCTTGAATGGACGAACCAATGAGTTCAGTTGTATGCCAGAAAGCACATCATGGGGGACTGCCAACGAGGCCCCAGTGATTTGGGGGAGGAGGGGCAAGGCGAGCATGGCATTGTTCGGAACTCCGGCCAACACGTCCTGAATCAAGTCTTTCTTCTCCATCGTAGGGTTTAATGGTTTAAAGTTTAGGCACTATTTGGCTCCACTTCGGGCCCTCGTTAAACCCCCTACTTGGGTGAAGGTTAGGGTTGAAGGTTGTTCCCAAAAGTTGAAGAAGGCCATTATAGAACATGGCACATGGTTCCCGACCTAGAAAGCCAATACTTGGGAAAGGGACTTTGAAGAACTCGCACTCGTGGAAAATCGTGCGTTTGTTGGTTTTGGGTTTTCTGATGGCTCGTGAGCCTTGGACTTGGCTTGAGCATCCGCGACATTCCACCGTTGCTCTCTAAACTCACACGAAAAGAGCCAAACCTATGCACGGTGTAAACGAATCTCAAAACCGAATCTGCCGAGTTCTGGACGACAAAATGCAATAGGGATGAGATGTGAAGCAGTCCTCTTTGAAAGCGTGGCCTCCAGAAAATCTCCCAGATTTCTCCAGCAGCAAAGAGTTCAAACTCGACCAGCTCTGAGCTCTCTACAGTTGACGCCAGCAAGGTTTTCAGCCCGCAAGACCTCTGCAAGCACATGATTGTAACACGTGCCGGCAAACATGTGCAAACATGCCCGTAACCATTGTAAAAACTTCATAGGTTTTGGCTTAGATGCTTTCAATTCAATGCCTTCACGGCAACGACTCCAAGCGGTTGCTCTGCCAACGCCTGCCAACATGGTAGAGGATGTCTCGAGGATGTCTCCAACGCATTGGCACTGTACACTGCAATTCAGTCAAAAGTCGTGCCCTGCTCAGCTAAGCATGAGCTGGCGTTTCGGGCTGAATGGTCCGGTCTCTTTTGGAAGATCCCGTTGCCGACGGCCGTGGTAGAAAGCAAGCTCGGTCCATGTATCGGGTCTACTGGCCAACACGAGGTCCTTGCACTGCAAATATCTGCATTTTTTAACGAAAGCCCCAGAATAGAAGGCTGACAAACAGTTGACCAGAGCGTTGATGCTTGCAGCACAGCTTACAGAAACGGCGGTGAGTTCAGGCACTCTCATCAGCAACTACTGTAAAGCCACTTCCAAGCTCCTTTAGAGCTTCTGGTCTGCCAATTCTCCCATTCTGCCTTGCCCTTCACGGCGTTCGGTTCCAATTTCCCACTTCCCGTCTCCGTTTGGGGCTTTGGTGTTTGGATATATCTCGCGCTCCCCGGCTGCGCGATGCTCCTCGTAGGACCATTGCAGGGAGTCATTCGGAATCCTGAATATTCATTAGGGCTCGTTAAGTGGTTCGTTCGATGCAACTGCGAGGATGTCCTTGCTTGGGCGGACTGGGCTGAAGATGGCTGAAGATTGATGCTACCAACATGGCAATGCGGAGTTGGCCAGTTCTCTGATTCAGAGTTGTCGGAATTGGATGGGGTTGCCCCTTCGCATGCAGTCCGCTCAGGATTTTGCCAAGCCCACTCCGATCATCTCCAATTCCAACCTCTTCTGGCTCGGATCTGTCGGAATTGGATGAGCAACCCCTCCGCATGCAGTCCAGCTCAGGATTTGCCAAGCCCACTCCGATCTCCTAACCTCCTTTCCTGGACCATACCCAAAGACATTACAGCCAGTCTGGGGCCCGTCATATGTTGCAGGTAAAAGAATAGCGGATTCATGATCAAAGAGTTCAACAAGTGCCACATCAGTGCAATTCCGCTTGTTCTGCTTTTACAGTATGCTGGGAAGTGTTGGGAACATGCAAGTCTTATCTCAAGCAAATGTGAGTGAAATAAGTGAAAAAACCAGCAGGCCATCGTTGACCCGTCGAGCCAGCAGCTGATGCATTTAAAGGAAGCGTTCGGAGTTGGGCAGTGCCGCATGGACCCAAAACAGAATATAACAGAATGCCTCCATAGGGTCGACGTCGTCCGCAAGGAGCACGGCCTGAGGCATGGGGAAAAGGGTAGGGAAAGGAAAAGGCCTTCACTGGGTTGACTGTGTCCACCGGCTGTTCAAGTTCTGGCACAAAAGTCATATCACAGACATAGTGGTTCGATGTGGTTCGCTTCGAGTTGCGTCCCCCGTGGCCTTACTCCTTGGTAGGACCATGGAGCTGGTGAGCCAGTCTGCAACAGCTCGCCGAATGGTTTTCTCAACTCCTCACAGGGCAGCAATGCACAGGTGGACAAGACATTGTGTCACTGTCACTTTTGCTGACACAAAACGCGTCACAACAAGAACGTGCCGCAGGGCGGCCGGGGAAGTGGCCCAGCGACGCCAAGCCGGTAAGCTCAAGATCAACCTTCCGAGACTACGTCAACACACCCTCAAGCACGCATCACTCCTGCAAGTTCGAAGTCAGGGGGCTCATCCTGTTTATCTGTATAACTCTGTGAAGACTTTCGCTCAGGAGGAGGGGGTGCTCGAGTAAGACGATGTGAGGCGCTTGCACGCGGCCCTGGACTTCTCCAACCGTGGACGCGTACTGGGCCTGTCCGTGCCAAGCCCTCGACAAGGCACCGAGCACGAAATTCCCCTCCCCCCCCCCCCCCAACACAGAACCTCCGGCGGGTCCGCCCTCCCCCGCCCCCGCCCCCCCGATCTGCGAACGCTGGATTTTTAAGTTCAATCTCCTCGCAGCCGTCGTGATCTAAAGTAGAGCCAGAAAGCTTGCATCTCCCAAAAGCTGCAAGGCAAAAAGAGCTGCCATGGTCGGGTTATTGCAATCGCTTCAGTCAGACCTGTTCCACCCTGCTCTACTACTCCACGCTCCAACTAAGCTGTCAATTGGGATTTGATCACCCCGCTGGTGAAGTTGGGTCTTTATTCGGACACTTGGTGCCGAGAACGTGGTCGCACGATGTTCTAGCCACTAGCAGAAACTATGCCTTAGACTCCGTCTTTTCGTACTTGACTTCGGGCTGAAAGTTTCAAACTGCGGAAAGCCTGCGGCGCAGCAGCGAAAAACACGTGCACCGCACCGGCAATGGGAAATCGCCTGGGCAAGAGCGAGGTGAGGCCTGTAAATTCAAAGCGACATGCTCAGAAAATCTGAGGCGCTTGCTGCATGAGAGGGCGCAGCGACACGCACATCTTACCGTTACAGGTCAAGCGCCTGCGCAAGTCGTAGCTTGCACTCTTTGCGCAAGATGTCTCTTGAAGCCTCACTCCGAAGGAAATACCACTTCCGGCATCGAAACTGATGTCAACCTGAGATTCTCAATTGTGGATCAGCACACCGTCGACTCACATCATCTCACATCCACAATATGGCGATGGAACTATTGCCAAGCTTGCAGCATCGCTCAGGTACTCCATCCCGAGGACCTTATCAAGATGCGAGTCATGGATGCAGCTCGGAGAATGCAGTGGCTTCAGCAAGTTATGGCAACTTCATTCCAAACGTCGCTGAATTTTCTGAGGTTAAGTCAACGTCCACTCGATGAGGCGAATGCTCCAAGACTTGCACAGGGCCCAGCTCTGGGCTTTGATCACCTCTACAGCGTTTTACCAGCTTTCACGCCGGCATTCAAAAGTAGCCATCTCTGCAACGTTTCGTTGCACTGAAAATGCTCTAGACTCTGTGCATGTTTCTGCACTTGCCACTGCGGCTTCGGGACCCTGCACTTGCCATCCGAGAGACTCTGGGGACTGGACCCAGCGTAAAGCGGCAACAATGCACGTGCCTCAATGCAAACATGCTAAGCAGCTAAACTGTTTCGTCTTGCGACCTGCACCATGCAAAAGATCGTCGTTTTTTCGGATCTTCTGCATGTCATGCATCCGCAGGACCACTGTTTGGAGTGTACCCGCCATCGAAACCAAGAACGCATGGACATGGCGAGCGTGCAAGCAAGCAGGCAAGACAGCAAGCAAGTGTGCAACCATGCGACAAGCATGAAGGAAACTTTCGGGCAAGCGCATGCAATGGCAAGCCAGCGAGCGTGCGTGCATGCTAGATGCTGTATCCGGACTTCAGTGCATCACTGCCTTCTCCATCCTCCTCCCCCACTCCCACAAGGATGTGACTTGGCAGTTTAAGCCCCGCCCGCATGAGAATGAAAACATTTTTGCGAGGAATTGAGTTCGAGGAATTGAATTCTGGCGGGCCAGCCACTAGGGGGTAGTCCGGAGTTGCCCCAACCCATGAGAAAGCGTGAGAGAAACAGCCTGACATTGCCCCGACAAGACGACAGTGAGGCGAATCTGAAAGACCTCTGCCATCCTCTGCCGTCCCCTTTTCGATGTCCTTCGCCCGCAGGCAGACACCTATGAGCCTTTCAGGCCCTCAGAATCCCGTGAACCTCCGACCCCGACCCTTCGACTTCTCATGTCTGCCTTTCAATTCTCCACAAGCCCGCGAAACATCCAAAACTTGATTTCAGAATTTTCCAGATGTTTTCGCGCATTGTCTGACTTTACATCCAAAACAAAGCAAAACTTAAACTCAGCCCGAGGTGTTACTGTCGACGGCACTACAAGAAATACTCAGAGACTAGAAGCCGAGAACTTGCACGCTTGCGAAGCAGCACGCCACTGCGAGAGGGTTCCGGGCAAGCTGCAACACAAGCGGCTTGAAACGCCGGGTTATGGACTCATGCCTAAGGATTCCTGGAAATCGCCACCCGTTGAACTAACGATCTGGCAACATCAATGACCTACAGAAATCATTTTCAATGGCCCACATAGGCAGTTTTTAAGTCATCCTTTTTCAAGGCAGCCCGCATGGCCTGAACACAGATGGAAGGGAGTCTCGCAGCCTGCGATAGCACATTGCGCATCTTTCTGGGTTCATCTGGCAGCGCAAACATGAACGCAACGCAGCTCTTTGCACCTAGGCATGAGGTCTTCTTGCACGAACTCCATCACTGCCCTGACATCATGCAAACCGATACAAAGAGTTCGACAAAGACTTAAAGAGCCTGGGCCTGTTGAAACTTGGCCACAACCAGCTGATCAGTGCATTCAGCCAAGACAAATTGCCCAGCTCGGCAAAAGACTCCGTACCTCGCTGGACTGAAAGCAAAAAACGATCAAAAGACATCAACAGCGCGTCTTCTCGTGTAGCAAAACAAGCTCCCCGTAGCCGAAACAAGAAGGCTCCCACGGCTGGGAAGTCTTCCACCCAGGGGTCTGTCACGACCAACATCAGAACCGAGCCTTGGGCACAATACATTTCGCAGCGCACTGACTTAACACATTAGTTAACATTGATCCTGGCTGTCCATTTCTCAGCATTCTGAATATTTCTGAATCGCGATCATCTTCCAAGGCCCTGATTTTCACCGAAAGACAGATGTGGAAAGATTGGCGAAAAGCGAATCAAAGTCTGCTGTAACAGGGGTTTTTCTCGGGTCAGAATTTTCCCTACCACTCGAATGTAGTTTCACAACAAGTTCGCATTCGCACAGTACTTTTCGATCAGTCACAACCGATTGCAAGGACCCCGGATGACCACGGGTGGTAGCCGCCCGGAATACGAAAGAGTTACCCCATTGCAGAAACACTTGTGCGCATGGTGTTTCAAGGTTCAAGGGAAAATAACGGGCTTTTTGAGTTCAACGCAAATCCGCCGAGGCCTCGGGCCGTAGGTGTCTAAGTTGTCAGAACAAGCCCCATCCAAATCCAAACCCAAAGCCATATTTGGCCCCCCCCAGTAGGCGATCGGGATCTGAAAGCGGACGGTTGGCCCCCCACACCAAAACCCCACCCACACCCCCACCCCCAACCCCGCCCCACCCCCAACCATCCCCCAACCACCCCAACCCCCCTGTGCGGGGCCATCAGTGCTAGCGCAAAGGGCCTTCTTCTGGCAGCGTACTGCCCTCCCCCCACCCCCCCTCCCTCCCCCCCCCCCCCGCCCGCTTCCCCCCTGCCCCCGCCCCCCACCCCCCCCCCCTCCTTTTGCGTGAACCCGCAACCCCGCAACCCTAAACCAACCCTCAACCCTGCACATAAGCCCTAAACCCAACCCTCATTGCTTGGGGTGCAGCGACTTGGGCGCTGCGGGGAATCCGCTGGGCCGTCGCGTAGCATTCAAATTACTCACCCCTCCTCGCAACCCAGCCTGCACTTTCGTGACGTACGTGACTGACAGAGAGCAGCACCATTGGGCGGTAGGTGTTTGGGTAGCGTAAAACAGGCACCTCTAATCCCCTCCCCAGCCTCCTTTAAGACTACTTTAAGTGCAAGCGGTTTTGTTCTTGCTGTGTCTCGGACCTGCTCGGCTTGAGTCGTCCCCAGCAGGCCAGCCCTTTTCTTGGGGCAGCTTTTTGCTTGACGGCAAAAGTTCGCTTCGAGCGGCAAGCAGCAATGCTACGCCAGAAAGAGCTCGTGGAAACATTGCCCAAGCTTTCGCGGTACGTAAACTGCTCAACTAGTTGCTGGATGGGAGGGCCCTCTGTGGCCTCGACACCTCGACCGCATTTGCCGTTGACACCGTTGCCAATGAAGAGCTTGAACGCTTGCCAAGACCTGTCCAAAACCTGCATGCCAATCATTGCCGGCACGTGCTTCAGGTTCTTCGAACGACGACCTTGGGTCCGGGTGAACGAACACCTTCGTGATTCACCCGTTCACTGCGAAGACAAAGACGAGGGCGACGCATCCCTTCGCAACGCAGCACCACCAGTGAGCCCACCAGCCAAGCCAGTTGACCCCGGCCGCGTTCAAAATGCTGACCAAGTCTCCATGGAGAGTTTTTCCCGCAAGCAGTGCATGCCTCAATCATGCCTGAAGGCTACACGTAAACGAGAGGCTGCCTTTGCAAGAAGAAATGTGACGGTGCCTTGCACTTCTGCACAAGACAAGAGCCAATAAGAAACGACGTGATTATCACCCCCCCCCCCACCCACCCAAAAGACCAGGCTGGGTACCCGACCGGCTCGAGCCAGGCCCAAGAAACGTGGGGTGGCTAATGGTGGCTCGGGTACCCAAAGGGTGCGGTGGGGTGAATGTGGTGCAAACAAAAAAGCTCGAAGAACCGGCAAGTACGTTAGAAGAAGAACCAAAAAACTGCATGAGACGCCACGGGCAGCTACCAGCACGATCTGGGCACGCTCAAAGTCCGACACGGGAGTGAACTTGGTCTTCGTGCGTTTCAAACCTGGCCGAATCTTAGGACCTGTGAACGACACCCCAATCTCTTTGTTGTTACGCCCAGGCCCGCACATCTTCATAAGACTCTGCAAACTTTCCAGACAATTTTCTATATTTTTTACAACGTGTCCAAGGTCGCTCCCAGTCCCTCGCCTCCCCACTGCATCCCCGCACTTTTTCCCTGATCTCTCGGGGCTGCCCAACCCTCAGTACGAGGTTCAAGTGCCAAGCACCTGTCACAGTCACAGGGGCGACACACGGATAAGAGCGAGCAGGAGCTTAGAATATGTCTTTGACCGTACGGGGAAACTGGTTCCAAAAAGCCACTTTGCTCAGCAGACACTTCTTCTACAACTTTTCCGGTATGTTTCGGTATTCTGGGGAAGATTGTCCCTTTTTTCGACAAAACACTTTTGCGAGTTTTTACGTACTTTTCCCACCTTTTTTCCGGCAACTCGGAAGACGTGCCGTGTGACAGCTTAGAGCAGGTCTGGCTTGGCGAATGAGGAACAGCTGAAGGCCTTGATTCGGAATATATGAAAACTGGTGCATCGTGCTGCTTGCTGAGTCTTCGCTGCTAACCCGGCAATATTGGGCCGGCACGGGTTCTTTGCTTCCTCCACGACCTCAAGAAATCAACGCCAAGCAAGTCAAGTGCGGGCTATCCTTTGTGATCGTGCTCTGCAGCCTTGACATGGTTGCCTGACGAACGTACAGCACTCTCCGGCTGTCGAGGCGATTCCTCCGATCTGGAATCTCCCATGTTCTCGCTCTCTGTCTCGTTCTCCCTCCCACTTTCACTCTCGCTCTACCCGCAAGCTGCAGGCCTCCTCGTGCATAGCATGGCTCCGTGGCACTTGCATACCAGAGCTCGAGAAGTGCTCGAAACCTTCTAGGAGACGCTCTTGATGTCGCGTTGATGCTCGTTTTGTTGAAAATCAGTCCTCTCAGAGAGCTGCACACTTTGCATCACGCTTTGAATCACGCTGCCTCGCTTTGCTTCACTGCAGTGCTACCACAAAGGCGGGCCCTCCTCGGTCCTCAACGGTTCTGCAGAATCACCCCATGATGCCAACCCACAGTTCATGACACTGCTCGCGAAACACGAAGCCACAAAGCCAGAACACCGCTTTATAGTGTGCTCTAACATGCTCGAACGCCTTCCTCTAACAGCTAACACGTCCGCGTGTGGACATTGCCAGGCCAACCATTTTGTCTGTGCAACTGGTTAAAGATGGTCAAACTCGCTTAGGAATCTTTCAAGCCAAAAGAAAGCCGCAGATCTTGTTTGTAGCATGCGATTTGCTTGACGAGCTGTCAAATCGTTGCTTGTGCCACTGCCACCACTCAAACCATCTCCAATCTAACCATCTCAAATCAATAGGTCTGGTTCTGGCCCCCCGGGCCTCGAAGCTTGCACGTTCACATGCCACAGGGAAGGGGGCGGGGCGAAATAGGTGAAACAGAAACAAAGCTGAACATCATGCTATGTTCATCTGGCTGCTACCAGCTTCTGGAATTGTACCTGCAAGCGCAGGCTTACAAGACGCGTGAACAAAGAGGTTACCGCTGCTGGCCTGGCGTCACCACGGCGCCTGGAGTCAAAGCACATGCGAGCACGAAAATGATCGGACAGCATGCGCTGGGCCTCTGCGGAGCGTTTATCGCCATCGTCCGGCGGCAACACGTGCAGCCTGCAATGTTTTTGCCCTGCTGCAACTAATAAGAAGGGAACAAAATCAAGCCGTCTGGTCTGGGACGGCTGCTCAGAGCATTGCGCTGCCACAGCACCTGCTTCAAAAAACCAAAAAACAAGAACGAAGAAGCCTGCATGACTGCAGCCTTGATTTGCAACATTCAACGACAAACCAAGAAAAGCTGTTCAGCTTTGACAATACGAGAGAGCCATCAAGCTGGCAAGACACGGTCTTGACGAATCGCATCAAATGACAGACTTTGACTACTTTGAGCGTACTCCGTGTCGATTGTCCCCGCCAACCCTACCCCTAAACCCGAAACCCTCACGCAAGCCTAAACCTTAGCCTCTCTCTCTGTGTTTTTCTCGCCCGCAGGCGGAAAGCAAGTCCAAATTTCGGACTACCTGCCAGCAGCCCTATTGGCACTAACAGACCTTACAAGCAGCAACGCCGGCAACCGTAGTCAGAAAGTGGGGAAATGCGGGGATGAGGTGAAGCTTGAGAGAAGTCGACTTTGTCGTTGCAGCGATTTGAAGAGCAAGAAACCATCGTAAACTGGCGCGTCTCCGCAAAGGATGGGTGCATGAATACAAGTGACGACCATGCCTTTGAAGCCGGCAACCTCGCACGGGAGTTCGTGACAACTTGCATAAGAATTTCCAGTCGCGTACTGTATGTATCCAGAATCAATGTGAGCCTGTTGAAGCCATGTTCCCGGCTCTCCAATGACGGCCTCCCCCAACAGCGGACGGGCTGCGCGTGTCCAAGTATGCACGTGGTTCTTCCTTGGTCCAAGGACTGTAGCTGGAACTCACTCTCACCAACACCTTGAGACAAGAATGCGCGTTGCCGAAAGTAACGGCCCACGCAACAGAAGCAAATAGGACCTAAGGAGCTCCGCCCGTACTCTTCAAGACTGTGATCGAAGTGAAAACCGCAGGAGACTTCCAGCATCTAAAGGCAGGTTTTGAAAGCATTCGCTAGCAGCAACATACGGCGGTCCATGCGTACTTAGGCCATAGGGAGCGAGGCCGCAGGGAGGGTGTACTAAAAGTAAACGGAGTCATGCGACTCAAATACGACCTGTGTCAGAAAGGACGGGCCAGGAAAAGTTGGAGGCAAGCCTCCCTAGAAGTTCGACATCGCCAAGGTGAACCATGATCTGCTGATGAACAACGGCAAAGTGAAGATGCAACCCAAAGCCTGTACTGCCAGGGAAGCTGGAGTGGCAAAGAGGTACTCTACGACGTAGAGGACATCAAAAACATAGAGAGAACTTCCATCTGCTTGAAGACGGCATAGAGGCAATCCACGACATGGAAGGGTGCAAGGCGAGCTGCAGGCCAGACGGAAGCAGTTCCAAATCAAAACCCATGGCGTCGCAAAACACGGGTGGTCCGAGCTAGCTGGTGCCCCTGCTGTCTTGCGCCAGAGCCTATATCCTAGACCCTAAAACACTAACACCCTAAGCTCTAACCCCAAAATCTGAAACCCCAAACCCTAAAACCTGCAACCTTGAACAAACCCTTGGAAATCTTCAAAACCGTAGGCCAAACCCACAGAACCTTGAAAACCCAACACCCTGAAATCCTGGACCCTGTACCCTGAACCCTCCTGCAGCCCCAATCCAAATCCCCTCTGGGGGGAGGAGGGGACTGGGCAACGCTGCACCATCCATACGGTGAGATTCTGTCCAATGCCTCTCCGCCACATTCTGTGCAGCGAACCACCTCGAAATAGACAAAGTGTGGCGATGTGTGGCGTGAGTCACATTTAAGACCCATCTCAGCCGGGCACAATGGCAAGCTCCGCCTAGGATACTCCAAAGCAAATGGAAACTATCCGATATCAAATTTGTGAGCAGTATCGCAGTATGCAAGCTCTGCGGAAAAGAAGTTCAAGGCCCTGGCACCCAAACCAGCTCCACAGCCAGCACAAGAAGTCCAGCCGTGACGGCCCCCGCGGGGTGTAAGCCTTCAGTTTCACCGGCGGAGATGCCGACGTCTCGAATCCATCCCAGTTCAATACACTGAATCACTGAAAACGAAGAGCCTCAAGCACTGGTTGCACACCAGCGACCCCATACCTGTACAATGGAGCCAAGCAAAGCATGCTAACCGCAGGACAATCGGAGAATCACTTGGAATGCTCTCCAATGCATGGCAATGCGCTCCCAGATGCATTGCGATGCATTGCGATGCATTGCAAACCGACGGCCTCCCAACCATGGAAAAGCAGATGCCCATGGAAGCTCAAAGCCAAGGGCCTGCGTCACCGCCACATATGTCCAGATAAGTCCCATGTCATACATGCATCCGTTCGGACCTCCGAGCTTCCTTTGCCGTTGACCGCATGAACCTGGAGGAGCAACCGCAGGCCAGGCAACTTGAAGCGAATTTTGGTCAGCCAAAAACGAATGGATACATGATATATGCCATCTCAGCATGGAGCCGCGAGCGACAGAGTTTGGCGAAGAACTCGATCAGCAGCCTCACAAGCGGAGAGGCAGGGTGTTCCGGCGGTATGCCCACAATGAACTGGGGACTCTACCCACATCACGTCCTGCTGAGTCGGAGCCTCCTCGTGCACCGGTTGATGTTAAAGGGCTCAGGCGGAAGGCAAGACACCGTCCCCTAAACAACCCCAAACACCTCCACGATGATGAACTGCGGCTGCAACGGTGGCAACGTGGCAAGCAGTACCTCTCAAACTCACAAGACTGGGGTCAGCCCCTGTCAGGAGGCTGCGCATGGTTGCAATGCGTAGGGTACCCAATCGTATGTCTCCCCGAGCTCTGAGCAATGCCTGGGCCCCCACACCTTCTCAAGAGATGTGTTGACTTTCAGAACTGTGCAAACATGCCTTAGACAGTCTTGCGACTTGTGCCTCATACTTCTCCACTGGAGCAGAGGGATCCTCCCAGAAAGCGAGCGGTGTGAAAGCTGGAAGATCACTCGCGAAGGAAGCTTTCTCAACAAGCTTGAACATGTCTGCGAACACATGTGCGAACAGCTTGGGATCGCGAATCGCTCTGCAAAAGTTTCACAAATGTCAGAACTGTTTCGGGTGTAAAAAAAGCGACTTCAGACCTCGGCCGTTGGCTCATGGAAGCTCTTTCCTATCTCTTGCTTGCTTGTAGAAGAGGGCGGCGGGGCTTATAAATACCGCGAGCAGTGTGGTGTCGGAGCGTCTTGCCCACCGGAATTTGGAGTTGAATGCTGAGCTGACCACACTTGAGCAGCCCGAAAACCAAAAATTCTGACCCCAAAATGCCTAAAAGCAGCCCCTGAAATAATCAGCAACTGACCGTTTCAAATTTAAAACCGCTTTGAACGCCAAGGGTCCCGGACTCCGCCAATAAAAAACAGCAAATCCAGAAGAACCCTTTGGAGGAAAAGGGCCATGGCGGTGGTTGGGCGTGCGCTCAGGCGTGACACACACACACACACACACACACCTACAACCGGCCACCTTAAAACCCTGAGCCCAGACAAAAGCCGTGGACAAAAACCTGATCCCAAAACCTCATCATTGAAAAGCCAACACCTGTTTTCACCACGATCGAGATCCGAGCCCAAGCCGACAAGCGCACCGCAGCACCACAGTACAACCCAACAAACCCTCACCACCCTGCGAACTCTAAAACAACACCCAATTCCCTCAGGCCCCTCAGACCGGAACATGCAAAAATGTGGAAAACTGTTTGTTTTGGCAAGCAAATGGAAGCAGTTGTCCTTCCCCAGGCCACATGGCCCGCCGCCGAGACTTGTCTCGTAGCGTTGACCCGACCCCAGCGCTGTGAATCGCTCAAGTGCACAACGTCGTGTAACGTCCTGTCTCGGGGCCCCCACCCCTCGCAAGAGACTCGCCAAGGAATGCCGCCACGCCAAACACAGACATTTATGGCACCAGTAACACAAAGCCAGGCACCCGCATGAAAATCCGTGCGACAAGCCCCTCATATTGTGCCAAAGCGGTAGATGTCAGATTCTTGACATGGCCTTGAACTGTCCTGTCCCTCGGAAATCTATCACCAACCTATATCACAACAGCTGCAGATGCACATAGAAGGCACCAGCACACACAAGACCTAGAACCAAGTCAGCAAACAAATGGATGCACCTGCGCAGGTACGGGTACGTGCCTGAACATCCGGCAGCGTCCAGCAAATCTCGTACTTTCGTGCCCCTGGTGTGGCCTCAAGGTTTTCAAGCCAGGACACACCAGTCGTGCGTCACAGAGTGCCACTTGCCACCACTGTGATTCAGCTCCATGCATCAAGACAGCGTGAAGCACCCCCCACTTTGGGCTGCGCAGGCACCTTTGCTTGAGAACAAGGAAAAAAGTGCGCAAAGACTGGGGTTCTTTCATGCCCTTGTGCTGAAGGCGCAAGGAGGGTCATCGGAAGGCACAGGGAAAGATATGGAACCCAATGGGGACGCAGGCCTGGGCACAAGCTTCCTGCTGTCGTCTGCGCATTTCATCTTTGGCAGCATGGACCTACGCACACAATCGCACACGGACTTTTTAGACAGAGTTCGCCATATCAGTGGATGGAGCCTCATGCAATGCGTCTGCTCCCTCCTTCCTCGTCTCATCGTCGAGTCTTTGTAGCCTTGCAACAGCACTGGCCCATGCAGCGAATGGTGGGACCAAACTTGAAAGATGAGGTGCTAGGACTCAACGGTCCAAGGGTCCAACACAAGTGTTTTGACATACATGATACACTGTCACAGGCTAGTGTCCCCTTTTTCTCGCTTGGTCCGGCGAAAGCCTATGAGAGGGTTCAAGATGCGAACAAGCAGTCAGGGCAAGTCTAGGACTTACTGAGATAGTGTTAAGAGTGAATCCCTCACAATTCTTGATGTGCTTTGTCTTGCCACGAGGCCTCCCAGCCCTTGCCCTGTCTTGTTACCTGCAGCTCTGTTCTGCTGGTATTTGAAAGAGCACTCGGGCCAAGTGGGTCACATGTTTTTCTCTCTGAACACGGAAAACAAAAAGAACACGATGGGTCGGCCCTTCCTGTATGCTTTGCATTTGTAAATTTTCATACTAATTACAATCAAGCAACAAAGCGAAAGTGTGTGTGCAGCTGGGGCTTTGGCTTGTCAGGATGCAAAAGCAAAACAAGCTTCTTCCAGGCCTTGGCAGTGGAAAGACACTGACATGCAAGGCTTGTGTGAAGCTCCTAACCTTCGGAAGGTACGAGCGAACGGCCACAAAATACTACTCGGTCCACTGAGACGCCGGGCTTGAAGAATCTCCTCGCAAGCATGGCTAATGCACTAGTTTTCGGTCTGTGAAGTCGTGGAACATCCGGCATTACAAGCACATTACGTGTGACTTGTCGATGTGTTTATGTGACGATGGTGTGCGGAGAAGCTTACTATGAAGATACGATGAGTTCAGGTGACAGTGTGATGTCTAGTGAGGTGTATCATGCCGGTACTTATGTAATGTGTTATTATGTCGACGAGGTGGTCACGCTCTCAGAGAGCACCTTTTCTGCCTCCACATGCTCCTGACGAAGCAGAGCTTGTGCTCAAGATCTTCAGCGGATTTGTCACCGATGTCGCGAAGAAGGTGAAGAATGGATTTCCTGACTGCTTAACAATGTGCAGCTTGAGAAGAAAAGACGAGGAGCTGGTGGCCTTGCCCCGTATCAGCAGATGATGTGGGTTCATCCAGACACTTCCAGTAGCCGTGTGCTTCAAAGTGCCAAGTGCGCTTTTGTAGGTCATAAGCTTGGAGAGAATGCCTTTACACTGCGGAGGCCGAGTCGTCCCACTTGGGCAGCTTGTTGGCGACTACAGTAGGATCTGGACGAAGTCTTCATTGCTGACGTATATACAGTTGTGCAAGAGTTGTCTTGCTTTCGGCTTGGTCCCAGTGCACGCCGGGCCAGGGCTTTTCCTTCTTGCAAACGGACGCTTTTGGATCATCTGCCTTTTGCCCTTCTTGGGGACGACCTCCGACGGATTTGACCACGGCCGAATGCAAGGCAAAAAGAACGCTGGTGCAGGCACACGTTGACTGCCGGGGGGCAGCTTGTCAGCTCCAGGCTTTCAAGGGCACGCTCACAGGAAAGAAACCGGGCTAAACGAATTTGCGTGGATCCCTAGTCTTTGGGCTGTCCCATGAATGGCATTCTCGCCTTCTTTAGGCGCGCCCATGTGTGGATGAGTGCTGTGATGAGGCACAGATGCTGACGAACACGCCCATGATGCCCTTCGCAACGGATGCCTCCCATGAAATTTTCCAGCGAGAAGACTGATCGAACCCTCGGGCCAAGCTAGGTACGAGTACCCGGGTGCTGGCCAGACGAAATCTCTTAGGTGGAGCAGGTCTCCAGGGTCGCGCTCAGACCCAGGGCCACTCAGTCGACAACAGCAAACCAGTAAATACGTAGCGCAAGTCCTGCTAGAGGCTGCGGCCCCGCAAACGCAACTCCCAATTTAAAGCGAGGGTGCTGAAACACATAGGCCAAGAATCTTGGCAGTCTTGCGCACTAACTCCTGGGCCTACTTCCAGGCCCATCCAGGCTTACCCCCCTCGGTGGCGGGTGGGTACTCGAGATTTAAAGCACCCCTTTTGGGCATCAATAATGTCGCGAAACACCCGAAAGAACAACCCCAATCTCAACTTTGCCCAGAAATCTCTCGCGAGCATCCTCGAACGGAATCACTTTCTTCCCTGCCGACCCTGTTTATCCACACCTTGACCCAGCCATCTTGAGAATTGGGCCTAGACGGCGGTTCTCCTGACCCAGAACCCCAAAAAAGAAGTCTTAAGCTTCCAGGCTTTCCAGAGAGTTTTCAACAAGTACGAATGCGACTACTAATCCTACCACCACCACCACCACCACGACGACGACTATTGTGACGGCGACGGCGACGGCGACAGCGGCGGTGGCGGCGACGACAACGACTACTCCGACTCCGACTCCCACTCCGACTCCGCCTCCGCCTCCGCCTCCTCCTACTCCCACTCCTACTCCTACTCCCACTCCTCCTACTCCTACTCCTCCTCCTACTCCCACTCCAACTCTAACTCTACTACTGCCACTACCATTACCACCACCACCACCGCCGCCACCACCCCCACCACCACCGCTAACAAGGCATCGCTTCGTCAAGGATTCTTGATTACTCTTGAGCCTTTCTGTCAGCCTCATTCCGAGAAAAAGCAGCAAAATCGCTCCTCTTCAGCCGCATTTGCAGCAACCTGCAACTTCTCCTGCCCAACAGAAACCATCGGCTAAACACATGGTGGTCCACACCAGCCTCGGCCGACACTGCTGCCAGTATTCTTTTGATCCTCAGCAATGCATGAAACACGAAACACTGCGTCAGGATATGTGAGGATGCAGAGATGTCAACTCTCCCACCTCGCATGAAAAGATGTATACTCCTTTGACATGAATTTGATGTGGGTAAACTTCACCATTGGCCCTGTCTCCTATCTCAACTCGGCACATGACTCTGCAGGAACATCGCGTCCCCTCGCAGTGGCTGCCTGAGAATACCAAGGGGGCCCATCTCCATTTAGAAGCACAACGAAGACACTACTAAACGTCACCATTAACCCAGCTGTGCAACCCAACAGCAAAGATCATCAAGTTCCGTTCCATTCCCTTCCAACGTTCCGTTCAGAGGGCTCCGGGGTGACAAATGCGCCCCCCCACCCCCCCGCCTCTAGGGATGGAGACTCAACCCTTCGGCTGTTATACTATGATTACTAGTCACAGTCACTCTAAGCCCAAAGGTTTCAAGCGGACCTGCGGCGCCTGCTGCGGCGCGGAAACCGCCTTCTCACGGGTGGATCGCGCCTCCCGGCCAAGGTGGAGAAACGCGCGCGGACAAAAAGAAACAAGCTTTTCGCATCTGTTTGGCCTTGAGAGATGGCGATTTTGGTGGAGCCCTGGCCTGACAAATGCATCCCAAAAAGCCGCAACCAACTGAAACATCGTCCTCGTCTGTGCACCTTTGCCTTGGCTGCGAAACTCATCGGCAGGAGGGCCTGACAAATCTGCATATTCAGCCCACTGTGCACCGGAAGATCTGAAATGGGAGACGGCCGAGAGACTGCTAAACCTTTCTGCATGCAGGGCACAAGCTGCATGAGAAGCATTCTCTTGCTTGAGTGAGACCGTACCATTGACCTGCAAAAAGTAAGAAACATTCCTTGCCACAGCTACAGAATGGATTGAAAGCCTGATGGGAGAATCCATTGCTCTGAGAATTGGAGAACGTGGGGGCAGCCGCGGGGACGAACGCTGCAAGGAATCCTCACACAGCACAGCTAGCAGGATCGCCACTTGAATCGTTAAGCTGCCAAGTTTCCCTGAAGGTGGTCTGCGGTGAAGCATTGTCGCCGTCAGGCCTACTAAGTGAGGCTACTTTAATCAGCGCAACAAAGCGAATGGGAATCTTCAATAGCGAGTGGCACTCTGGCTCTCTACAGGTTCTAATGAATGTGATCGGTGATGGCCGACACACTTGCAGTCGGGTCTGAAACACCCCAAAAAACCCAGCACGACGGATCAGATGCATAGGCTTCTCGTTTCACAACTGTCCTCTAGAACTCACACACACACACACACGAAAGGTGGACTAGAAAACACTGGAACCTGAATTCCATGCTGAAAGACAGAGCGCTAACAAGTCATTCATGAGTTCATGTAAGCTGATGAGCGAGTTCCAGCAGCCTCAAACAACAAGTCACTTTGGGGGAACATGTCTCGTTGCAGGCAACATGGCTCGAAACGTGACAAGAAAAAACAATTGAAAAAACAATCGCTTGCAGATGCGACCTGTTGGGTTTCTTTGCCTGGACGTAGCGATGCCCTGAGGGGCCGGTTCTCGTTCTGTGTCGTTGAAAACGATAAAACACAACAACGCATCAGAGTCTTGTCTTGACGAAGGCGCCGAGCAAAGAGCTAACAAAGCCATGTGTGCCGTGTTCAGCGCTCAAGAAACTCTTAGCTCTGGCAAGGGGTATATGTTTGACATTGATACGAAACAAACTTTGATTTACGAGCTTCCATGCAAAAACAAAACAACAATTATATTTCGCCTCCTGTCTCTACCACAACCCACACATCGCATCTTCGGCACGCACACCGCATCTGCAACTCGAAACAGGCATCTCGAAACAAAGCTTGCGCGATCTGGCACTCCCACCTGGCATCTGCACCCACAACATCGGCAGTTTCGGCAATGCCTTGCAAGCTTGGGTGCTCAGGCTCGGCATGCGAGCTCAACAAATCTCGGATCCATCCTTCGCGACTTGCCAATCTGGGTCGAGCAGCTGCCTCATGCAAAGACAACAAAACAATGCAAAACCTCAGGAATGTACCTCATAGCAAGCAAGTTGGAGGCCTTGTGCACAAGCCGTCGAGTGGTTTTATGCCACTCGTTCAGGACCTGGAATAGAAGGTTGCTGCCCCAATGCCAGAACTGATTGTAACCCATGAATCGTGACAGATCGTGACATGACAACACGTGCCCATAATGTGGCCCCGACCCTTAAACGCACCAATTTTGATCTCCACGGCCCTGAACGTCGTCGACATTGCATGGGCGCAAATCATTCGATCTTGATAGCGGGGCTGCCAGCTCTAACTGAAAAAATGACAGGTGCTCTTAACATTACCAAGGATCTTGTGCTCTTGCCTGGCTGTGCCCAATGCACAACTTTCATCTGCAACCAGTTGCCTAGCCACTTACGATGATACAGATTTCCTACCATAACCAGGGCGGGTCACCACACGAGACTGAACTCAAGGGGATTCAGCGCGGCGTCGACGTCCCAAAAAGCAAAAACAACGACAACACAAAGAAGAGTACTCAGACACGCAAGTGGAAAAAAAGGTCCTCGTGGGTACCCACATCATCTAGCAAAAATTTGGTCCCGCATCACGGGGCCTAAGGCGATGGTTGGTGTGCACATCAATGAACACACTCTTCCACATCACTTGAGCGACTCCTCTGAAGCTCTATGTGTTGGGGGTGGTCTCAAAAAGATCCGCAGCATTGGGAAGCAACTTGTTTCGGGACAAAGTTTCATCTCCCCACTCCTGGTAGGGTCGCTCCTCGGTCCTGTTGGGCTGACCATGCGCTCGGCAAGCCTACTTCTGAGGGTGGCGCAGGACAACATAAACCCTACTGCTTGAGAGAGAGTACAAGGCCGAGCTAGAAAGCAAACCGGAGCTGTGCAAAGGCCGGCCGGGTGCACAGAGGAAACTGCGGTGGCTTGACTGACCAAGCGGAGGCCGACAAGAGAACAGAGGAAGTCCTGGCGCTTGCCACCGCCATGGGGGGGCAAGTTCAGGGCGGGCTTTGGCGGCAGCTCGCGTGGATGGCCGACAGCGGGGATGGACTCCATTGGCCGTTTTGCCACCAGCAAACCGCAAACCTGGCTGCGCGACCATCAAGGAGCGCCTGGCGGCCCAGGGAGAAAAACCTCATGGATGCGAACCCCTCACACCGGCCATCCCTGCCAGCGATGGCGGGCCAAAAGGGCCCCACAGCCGGCGCTGAGCTTCGCCGTAGTCTGACCGACGGCAGAAGTGGCTTCCAGACACTGCGGCAAAGCTCCCGGAGAGCAGGAGACTTGGTGGCCCATGCGGGGTTGAGGATGCGTGTGAAGGCTCTGCGCTCATGTCGGCCAATGGCTGCGCAGTAGAAGCCTTCAGGTTCAGTTGTGTCGTCCAGCCACTCCAGCTTGTAGAAAACGGGGCAGAGACGCTCGCAAAAGCAGACGCGTCGTGCCCGGCAGATGGGGCCACGGCTCAAGAACATTTCGAGCGACTAAGAAGCCAGACAACAAGCAGGAGTTGGACCTAGGGCTTAGTGTTTTAAGAGAGGAGCTGCTGAGAGCCCTCACTGGGGCTCAAGAATCTTACAGAAGGGAGCTGACGTGGGTTTTTCCAATTGTGCACCGGTCCTACTTCTGAGGTCGTCGCGTAAAACAAAATTTGCACTCACATCACGACCAGAGGCGCTGCACAGGAGACCGCAGGAACGAGACATGTCGGAAGGACAAGTTCGCTTCACAAGCTTTCAAAAGGACTTTGCACTTTCTTCGCCTCACTATCTACTATCTGAGATTGTTTGCCATTCCTTGTAGGGATCAGGGCGTTCACACCATTGTTGACCAAAGCCCCTCAAGCCAGGCATTTCAAGGTTGCCACTCTCCTGTCGTGGCGGGCTACATCATGTACTTCCACTTCCCATTCCTTTGAGGATAAGTGACTCAGCAATCTTAGAAAAAAGATTTGCGAAGTGACACCCAACTGCGAATCGGCTTCCCACATCAGAAACCAACACCACACAGCTCAGATGGCGAAAACTTTGAGGATTGAAGCCAAGCACTGCAATCCACAGTCTTTTTTCACGTGCAGCACATGGCTGCACCGTCTGCATCTGGACTCTTGCCGAAACAATTTATGCATCTGCAGCGTGAAACAATGTGGCATGGCGACAGCCCAACATGAAACAATCATTCGATAATTTCGGGCTCACAAACCGCGTGCATGGCACCTTTGCCAGGAAGCAAGTCATGGTCACCTGGTGAGTGTCACAGCAGGGACGTCGGAAGAGTCCGGATCTGCTCGCCTCACTAGTAGTCCGCTATGGGCGCCCACTTGCAGAGGACTTGCAGAGGATGCAAGTTGCATACTGCTCATCGGCGATCACACGCTTGTGATTCTGATCGATTTCGCGATGTATGACCATGTGAAGCTCATCGACGGCATCTCCCCTGGCTTGAACTGATGGACCGCGAGCTTTGACAGCCGAGCAGCGGCTGCGTTGATCATTGCTGCGTCCGTGGCGACAGTCACTCTCTGACAAAAGCTGCAGGTTCTATAATGCTATTCACTTGCTTCTGCCCCCGCGCAGATTCTTCTGGCTTCCTCCGTGCCTGAAGGCAGAGAGAATGCCTCAAAAGCAGTTCAACAAACATCTTAACGACTCATGCTCTAGCACTCTCTCTATCAGACGCCCACACAACCCGGATGATCACGCAAGTTTGGGTCATCGGCCTTGCAGCAGCCTCCTCGAAGCTCTTCGCAGTTGCAGCCACCTGAAAGGAATACCGGGCGATTTTGTTGCATGTGACTTGTTCTTCATTCCCTGCTCCCCCCGAGTGTCCTCAGGCAGTGTCATCTACACTGCTTCACAGTGAAGGCTGCGTGTCCGAACCCCAAAGACATCACAACAGTCTCGAGCCCTTGGAGTCGGAATAAGCCATGCAGTCTGCAATCAACAAACCCACCGAGAATCAACGACTCAACATCAAGGACAAATCATTGAACAGGCTACGCCCTCCATAAAGCTCAATCCCTTAAAAAAACTAAACCCTGAGTTTCCTAACTAGAACCCCTTAGTGCCTACTATCCCCCACCATCAAAATCGTTGAACCTCCAGCTGCGCATCGCTGCGTGCTGCCTCTCATCGGGCCATGAAATCTCCTGCATCTCTGCACGCCTCTCAACCCTTTTATGGTATACTGCATTAAAAAAGCACGATGAAACTGATAACTTATAATCAGCTCAGAAAAAGTCGGCATGAAGCATAGCAACTGTAATACAAATATACTCATGTGGCGACTTTCGCGATGAAAAAATATGGTACCCAACTATGTAACTAGGTGCTTGACCCCTTCGCTCTAACCAGGACATTTAGGGTCTGAGAACCCAAGACCAAAAAGTCTCGATTTTTAATGTTGATGCGTGCTCGGGTGCTCGGGTATCCTCCGGGAAGACATCGGCCGTCTCCGGCCAGGGGAAGCCAAGCTCTCCGAGCTGATGCTGTTCCTCCAATGATCATGTCGTTACATTATGTCACAATCATCGAGCTTCAGGATGCTTCACGGATCTTCAAGGATCTTCAAGGACCCCAAAGGGAGTTGAAAAGGGGCTGAAATGGTTTGAGGCCGAAGGCAATTGATGGCACTTTGCAAGGGCACTTGTCTGCGCCTCGGGCCCGAGCTGGTCCCACAAGTGGTTCGTGAAGAAGACTAGGCTGTACCTCTCGCTGCCTTGCCACTCCTGCAGATCAGCATGCTAAGTCGCAGCGTTGAAAGCCATACGAGAAGTCCTCCGTGAGATGGAATTCGCGGCCATCAAAGGCAATCCATGTGTTGCGAACATCCACCAGTCCTTTCAGCGATGAATCTTCTCTGGACCCGCCATACCCTGCTTGCACTTTTCAAACGATGCAGCAAAGCTTCTCCAGCTGTTGTTCCGCGACGCATGCAGCCACAGACGTCCACGTGAAAAATCCCCGAGAGCAACCATTCGGCTTGGCCCTGCATCAAAGCCATCGGTGTGCATCTTGTATTTGGTATTCACGTTGACCTCAGTTTACGACATTGGACAGATTGCACACAGCTGTCCCTCACCCTAAGCAGGCCGGTGCCCAGAGGGGGCTACGCTGAAACCATGTCCTGAGCCAGGGGACCTGTATTGAGGTGAACTTGAAATCCGGACAGGCAGCCCGGCAGCCTCTGCAAAGCACCTGAACGAGCTTTGGGTGTGCGCGGGTGGCTTTAGAGACCACGGGAGTGCCAGGACCACCAAATTTGTAGTCCGTCGTAAGGCCCAGTGTGCAGCCCTTGCAAAGGCCCTTGGATGGCATCCTTCCAGCCACCTTGCATCTGTGACATTCTGTGACGCTAATGGTGCAACGTGTCAGCATTGTCAGGGCTCATCAGAAGTTCCACCCACAAAGCGCAGCAGGCCTTACGTTTGTTGCGCGGAAGCACATGCTGAAATCTTCGCAGGGCGTCCAGCATGTCGTCTTCAAGCTGACTCAAACCTAGCACGAGAAGGCCATGCCCTTTACGTGGTGTTTTTGAAAACTTCGCGGTCGCTGGCCTTCATGCCCGCAAGCGCCACAGGCGGACCGGTCTCGAACCTGCCAGATTGCCCGGTCCGGTGCTGGAAAACTGTAGCAAGCACACCACAACCATCCACTAGGGCCTGTGGCCACCGGCACCCAAGATGGGTACCAACTATCCTGCGGAACAACTATGGCATGAGCCGTCAACCGTTTTTCAACCAATGCGTGGCTGTTCTCAAGCTACGCGCCTGTGTTTCGCCGGAAACGCAACTAAGTCCATCACGGTTCAAAGGTTGGCCATCGAACAAGTCCCCCTGAAGTGAGAGTAAATACTGTGGGCACTGGCACCTTGCACCTTGCATCAAAGTCTTGCAAAAACCTCGGTTGCCAATGGCGGGTGATCTTCCCAATCTTTGTGCACTAGAACGACAACTTGCTTCAAGTTCAAGCCACATTTTCAAGCGAGGCCAACAGGATTCTGAACAGTCTCCGGACTTGTTATGTGTCTTGCATTGAAAGTGCCAAGCCTGACGCAAATCTTCAAATTTTGCACACTAAACGATTTACAACCCCCTTTAAGTTTCGTGTGCCCTCCTGATGTATGGACCCAAGTACCCCGTATCCTTTCAACCCATCAAGCAACATGTTATTTGCATCCCTCGCTATGTTTTTACCTCACTTCGTCGTCGTGCGAAAACATCACTCCCACAGCGGCTTTCGACGAACGCAGTGGTTCGCCGCGTTTTATGTGAAAGGTGTCGGCGACCCTGTATGTACTATGCTTCCGTGCTGTTTCGCGACCTTTTCGCATCTATGCCAAAGCGTAAACATGGGGATTTCTCCTCTTTGCAAACACACAAGCTCTGTTTCGGCTCTTGCGTGAACTCAAAAATGGGTTTTGTTCTCAGGTGTAAGGAACTCAAACACAGTAACATGAAGAGATGTCGAGAAAACAACCCTAAAGCCTCATTGGGCCTGCATTGCACTCGCGACCGAAACCGTCAAGCGACCCAAAGAAACTCTTTGCAGGAGTTTGCCACGTTTCAATAGCAGGACATTGCATTGAGTGCATAAGATTGAAGCACTGGCGGAAAAACATTTGTGGTCCAAGGATTGTACCAGTGCAAAGCGCATTCCAAACTTATGTTCCACGTAAAGCAAGCACCACTAATGCATGGCATTCAAATCAAACAATATTGGACCGGAAAGTGCATTGGACCGGAAAGTGCATTCCACTCCGGTTCTTCAAGACATCGATCGTCTCGCCGTGATCTTGGCATCCTGTGAAACAGTGGCGCAAGTTGTCTCTGACGCTTGTGGGGAACGATGCAAGATGCGCACCCAACAACCTTCAGTGTCATCTTAACCGGCCATGGGTGGCGACTACTGCTCTGAACGAAACAAACAATCTTCCCATGCTCAGCCACATCGGAAAGTCCATTGCTGAGTGCATTTGTTTCAGTGGTGTGGCGGGCCCGTTTTTGCCTCGGTGAGACGGATCCATGTTTTTCCAAGCTGTGGCGCAGGATCCTTGTGTTTTAAAGGCGGGGCCGCGGCGATGCCCCTTCCTCGGTTAGGTGCAGTGGTCCTCTTTGTTTTCTTGAGTGTGCCAGGACCCTGTTTCTTTAAATGTGGCAGGCCCTTTTTTCGTGAGAGTCGCGGGATGCTTTTGTTCTGGCTGCGGCGGGTCATTGTTTCTTAGATGTGGCGGGGCCTTGTCTTCCCGCGTGGCGAGCCTTTTCTTTTCCTGAGCGTGGCGAGTATTCATTTTTCGATTGTCTTCATGCACGATGTTCCTTTACGCTCGCTTGCACGGCTGACAGTTAACGGGGCAGCGAAGCACCCCCCATTTGCAAACACGAGCACTAAAGGATGAAAAAAAGCAGGGGGTTGGAAGGAACACAGCAGCCCCCCCAACCCTATTTACATATGGGGGGATGGCAAGAAATCATACACGTGCGCATGACGACCCTCAACGCACTCTTGCGTGGCGAAAAAAAGAGCGTTTGCGCCTGCCAAAACCTCCTATTTGCAACAATGCCCTGGTATGACTGGTTGTGAACGGAAAGGAAAGGAAAGAGTGACCTCCACATGTCCACCGCCTTACTACTGGCAATTTGAGCCGTAAGGCCGAGCCTTTTTGTCTCTCAGGCGCACGATTGTGGCCGCCTCGCCCTAGGCCCACATTTGTTTGCCAACAGCTGCATCCTCACAGATGCCTTTGGGCTGGCCTACCGCCTAGACGTGCCACGCATGCCATGGATTCGTTGTCCGCCTCGGACTCGCACTGGTAGATTGCCCAGCTGCCTATGCCTGAGTCCAATGACTCCGCATTTTCTTCGATCTTCGGAAAAGGGAAAAAAAACACCTCCGAGTTCCGATGGCTTATTGTAGTTGGGACTGGCCCAGCTCAGCAAAGCCTCCAGTACGTCCACATGTCCTCTGTGCGTTTTGAGGGCACACTTGCCTTCCGTAAGGTACAACTGCCCACGTATTCCCCCTCCTAGTTTTGACAACGCTAGGATTTGCAGTCCTTTTTTTTCCGCTCGCCAGGTACCTCCCACAACTTCGTCCTGGTTTTTCAGGATGACGCTGCCCATGAACGCACGCTACCTTGCATGCCTCCCTAAGACCAGTTTGCCCAAACGCAGGCGTTCTGTGGCAGAAGCTTTTCCTAGCTTCCCTGTGCACAACATGGGGTTTAGAATTATTCTTCCCCCCCACCATAGAGCCCATTTTGCCTCCCTCCCCTTTAGCCCTCGGTTCTGTCCCTTTTTGCATAAGTATGTTGCAAAACGGGGCAATTCCTATCCTTCTCTTCTTCCACAGGCTTTGCAGGACGACAAGAAACGATGGCGGGGGGGGTGGAATTTTTAATAATGCTGAGCCACAGGAAACCGCGCGGCAGATGGGCGATTGGGCATTGGGTCCTCGAGTTGCGGAACTGTGCAAAGAAGATGGCAAGAAGCCTGCTTGACTTTCGACGTCTGAAATCATGTCCCTAATTACCTTGCTGTGCCCAGCTCTCCAAAGCTGTATGCGGCTGTGGAATTTTTCTCTGCGGTAGAAGTGGAATTTAAAACTTCTTTTTCTTCTGCACAACACTTCCACTCTTCTCTGCTTCCACGCTTTACAAGACAAGAAGGAATTTAGAATACGAGAGTTCTTGAAGCAGAAGGACATATTTCCAACAAGAGCCCGCCGAAAAACCCCGAACATTGAATTCCAGCTTCTTCTTGGCCAGGGCAATGTGCAAGGCATGTGCGAAATCCAAAGCCAAGCTTTGGATTCTTCTTGCAAGCGGGCGCTCACAAGGAACTGCGCAATGCTCAGAAGCCCCAGCTACAAAGCAAAACACAGCACCAAGCCACACCTGCGCCTCCAGGCTGTCCCAGGGGCCGCTACCTACGTGTAGGGTTCCAAGCAAAGCGAGACCTTTCGCTACGGACTCCCACGGGGGCTTGAGCCAAAGAGGGTACGGATATTGCAGTAGTGATTGGGTGGTATTGTGTTGTTCCTTCGCGTTCATCGCTTGGTCAGTGTAAGATGTGTTTGGAAGACGTGCAGGCGTGCATTAAAGTGCGCCTCCGATGCGCCCTAAACACGACGCAGCGTTCATGATGTTGGGATTTAGGGCAATAAGGCTGGCAGCGGGGGTTTAGCCGCGGCATGTGCAAGTGGGCAAAGCACTGCATCAATGCGTGCTTTAATCAACTCTGCACTTCCCTCTAGATTTTCAAGTCAAGCGTTTGCCCAGAACTTGTTGTGCTTGTGGCTGCAACAAACAAATTCAGAAATCTCTGGCATGTAAAGCTTTATTGACTGTCTTAGAACGGGGAGACCTGGAAAATCCAAGATACTGTAAAAGTTTCTAAACAGCACAAACCCAACTTACACACAGCTTCGCACTTGCACAGCACTTTCTCGGTCACACAAAGCGACGTGCAGTTGTCCTGCCTTCTTAGTGCTTTCTCAGCTCTCTTGACCTTGAGCCAAGAGTCAAAAGTAAAACTGGAAAAACCCAGTTGACGCCACCTACGCAAGCTCGCTTCTCCTACAAAACAAAATCTCAAGGAAAAACATGCTCGACTGTTCAGGGAAGACCTGTACGTCCCGGACATACAGTAAGCACGTCAAACATGCGCCTTGGCCAAAAAGGCATCCCGCAGACGTGTCTATACACAGATTTTCACACCCCCTTTCGGGATGATCTTTTTGTCTCACCTCACTCTCAGATGACGACATCTTCAGATGATCACTCCAATCTCAGAGGTCTGTTCCCTGTCACACATGTCGAACACGGAGTGATGCATGTCGGGTTGGAGGTAACGGCCGCCACATGCTTGCAGTACACACTGTGATATTTGTCCCCGGACGGGAACACACACAGTTCTGTGTTGCCCGGCTCTGGCTTACAGTTCCCACACTGCCACATAGTTCGCCATGATCCCTCCATGCGATGACATGTCTGATCGTGATGAAAGATGCCCTGAGACTCTGAAGCAAAGATCCGCTTGTCCACTCTATCCTTGCAGCTTGAACTTGCATGCTTCTCCCTTGCACCAGCTGCCTTCGGCCTCGCTCTCAACGACGATGCCTCCTTTTTACCATCTGGCTCACGAGGGTTCATCTGTTGACTTCTCTCAGGCATAGAGTTGTTTTGGGCACCTTGTGGCTTCATCGTGTCATCATCCAGAGGCGGGTTCTGTGTAGCAGCTCTTTGCTGCCCATAGCTCATCCGGAAAAACAATGCCCACGCACAACAGCATGTCATGATCAGCGTACCAACCAAGATGCCGTTGACAAAGCACCCGATGATGATGATCCATACTGGATCCCAAGTCGGACTAGCAAACATCTGTACAAGCTCGCTGCCCATGAAGGTGGTTCCCCAAAGCTCTACTGGCCTCGCAGTCTCCACTCCAGAGCTCATCAACGCAAGAATGGCCACTGAAATCGCCACTCTCATCAAAGGCTGTGCAACCATGACGCCCGAGGGAAAACTAGAAAACTTGCGTTACAAAGAATCGCAAGTGCTGTGCAAACGCACTGTGCAAAACGCACTCTGACTATACTCCTCACATGACTTGATCATGTGTGGCGTAAGATGAAACCAAATCGGATCCCCCTTTCAGTTTGTTGCTTTCAGGGCTTTGACCAACCCTTCTGCCAGCACCTTGCTATACCTCCCTGTTGCTGTGTAGTCAATGTCATGGAACGAGGCATGTGTCTGGCAACTGCAGCTTCCAAACATGTCGAAAAGCTTCTGGGCGCACTCGA